GAAAATTTTAGCAGTCCCTCATTAAAATCATGCATGTCTGGCTTTTTGAACTGTGCAAGAAAGAGGATGGACAACCTAGCCTGTCTACGTCTCATATAGCCAATCATGGGAAGTAGGTGTTTCAGAGGACCTGCAGAGGGGCTTCTGGTCCCTTTGGCTTCGGTGCTGACTCCTTTCCAGCTGACCATTCAGGAATACAGACCCACCCACAGCAGCAGCAAGGGCACTTTAGGTTTTATATCTACAGTGGTAGGTCAGATTTCACCCCTTTTCACTCCCACACGCTCTACCCACAAGGCTGAAATCAATCTTCCTCTTCCCTGCCTGGCCCAGCACCTTGACTTCTGCATTCCTGCCACTACATCTCCAGTGAAAGGGCAGAAGAGGGCTCACCCTGAGAATCAACACATAACCTGGCAGCTAAGCCTCAGCTACACCTTCAGTTAATTCCCTTTGGCCTGAATCCACAGCTTCCCACATCCTAGCACTGCTCTACTGCCAGACTTGGACCTAACACTTAACAGGTCAAATAAGATTAGATGCAGGAGGCTCCTACTAGTCCTAACACACAGTCTGAACAGCCACAGGCTGTTACAGGCAGGGGGAAGCCCCATTATTAATAGGTGCCAAACACCTAGTTAAGGTCAAAGTCAGCAGTGACCAGAGAGTCTGGGATACGGACACAGTGTTAATCCCAAATGCAATAGTTTCCTTCTCAACCCTTCTATGAGAGACCTCCTGTGCTAAACTAACAGCTGCCCAAACAGTTAACATTTACTATTGGATACTGGTACTCGAAAAGATAACATGTGGATTGACAATCGCATCTTTCTGTCACATTCAGTGCAGTTTTTAAATATTAATGTCTATTTTCTTTTTTTTTTTTTTTTAATATTTTACCTGTGGTGGACTTTGTTTGAGCCCTGAGCTTGCAGCCAGTTAACAAGGCTAAATCTAAGCATGACTTATCCTTTTCACAAAGAAACTATGCAGACTGTATCACTGGGTTCCACCTGCACCTAGAAGCCTATTGACCTGAAGTTTGAACTTAAATTGTTTGTGCATTTGCATCCAGAGGGATGGACACGACCTTGTTACAAAAATGCTGCTGCACTTATTCTAACTCCTGAAGTTATCTGGCAGTTCAAAACTGCCTGGTCACTGCGTCAGGGCATTTTTATTTCTAGCTCTACAAAAACGTGAGGGAAAGCATTATGTTAAAATCTGTTTCAAATAATAAATGCCTACATTGTATATAATGACATTTGATTTTACCAGTGAATAAACAATTGCAGCATGCATGGTATCAGATCTACAGCATTCTGTTTTAAATTTCAATCAAGATTGCCAATGGCACCATAAAGTAACAGAGGCGAGTTTGCATTTTTGAATGTTTTCACAACACTAAGCTTTACCCCATCCATCTGGACATATAACAAGTAAAATTATACGAGTATGGAGAACACGTAACTGCTTTCACTTGCCCAAATAATGCACGCCTGCCAAACAGTAATGTAATAAAATGCATTACAGGCTCTCAGGCATTAAACTCTGGAAATACAGAAATAATTTGAAATCTGGCTTTATCTGTTTTTGAACTGTTTGCATTATCAGAAGTGCCACACAGAGGAAGACAGACACCTGACATGCTTCAGATTTTTGTGTGAATTTTCCACACTGTGAAACAGGCATTGGTCAGACACAGGGCTGTCCAAAAACTGTACTTAGCATGTGTCAAAAGTCAGCTGCATTTTGTCCAAGATGCACAAAAGTCAGGTCCAGTCTCAGCCTTACACTTCTGGATAATCAGAAGCATCAGCAGCTGTAAGTTGGTGCTAGAAGACAGTTTTAGCACGTTTGGAATGATACTGGCCTGAGGCAAAGCTGTGTTACAAAAGCTGAACACTTCGGGAGGTGTTGGAGATTAAAAGTCTTACTAAAAGTTTCTTTAGAGATGTAAGAAAACAACTCAAAGGTCTTTATTTGTTTTAGTTAATTGTCTTGAACAATTAACAGTACCAGCCAAATCTAACATTTATAAAATTTGCCTAGAAGAAAATGGGCACTGATTAAACCAGCATCAATTTTGGAACCATTAAAACCACTTCAGATAATTCAGCAAAAAAAGGAGGACAAAGTCTAGCAAAGCAGTTGCTCATTTTCAATTCAATACTTGGGTTGTTCTTGACAAGTGGAGTCCAATTGATCACCTGTCCTCTTCTGGTTCCCATTTTCAAAGCTGCAGAATTCTTAACATCTTTGCTAAATTCCAAGTTTAACATATTAAGTTCCACAACATTTAAAAGCAACTGTACCACTACCCATATAATTAAAGGGTTTAAGAAATACCTTATGGTAACAAAATTTGTGCTAAAGTAGGAAATTATTCTTGAAAGAAATTCAAGCATTATATTTTTCTTGGAGGTCTCTCCTGGTACATTGTAATCTCCATATTCCGCTTTATATCCCATCTGTCTATATACATCTGTTGTCTCTTGCTCTGTACCTAGACTACAAACAGTTTCAGCCAGCAAAACATCTATTTTGTGTAATGTGCCTTCACAGGGCTATAGTAAGCTATATATTAAACAATAATAAACTTTTCTAATATTAAAAATTAAAAAAAGCTAGCTTACGAATTTGTATTGAAAAACATCCAGGGTGGCTTATTTCAAAATAAACAGAGACAAAAATATGACCAAACTGCTCCTCTGAATGCATCATATTGTATTTTATTTTGTCGGGTTTTTTAAAATGAATGCACAAAAGGTCAATGAATTTAGACAAATAATTTATTTTTGTTTTATTTATTCATTATTTTATGTACAGTTGGCATTTTGCAATACTGTAAAAGGGAAACAAATTAAGTGCAAAGCAAAATAACTATTATAGGTTGAATATATTTTAACACTTTTCTGTCATCTCTGAATTAGCAGACACTGACAACTCAGTGAGGACATTAATTTCAACTTCTTTATACAGGCAGTAATGAAATAAAACTGCACAATACAGTATTACGACACTTTAAATGATCCAACATATCAGAAGAAAAACAGACTTAATTTACTAAATTGAAATCACTGGTTAACTTTTTTAAGATAAAAAGAAAGTATCTTTGAGTTAGCAATATAAGGCATTAGATAATTTCTCCATAATAATTTAAATCCTTCATAAATATAGGGTTAATGTTTTGTGTATGTGTGTGTTCAAGTAAACCCCTACCTTATACCACAGAAACATGAGTCAAAGGCATTCAAATGAGGAGAGGCCTGGTATCCATGCCTGGGCTATGTCTGCATATGCACAGACACCTTTGGGTTTACAAGCCTCCTGCTTGGTTTTGCTAACCACTGCCTTCACCATACTTTAAATATGCTCTTATTAGCTTTTCTAATCTAAACCTCTCAACACCTGTTTCTCAAAGGACTTTTGTTGGGGAATTTATTGAAGCCAGTTAGGACCCACATGTTCTTATATATTCACAGTAGCATTTTATACTTTAGGGCTCGAACCACTACCATGAGGTGCAAATGAATAACCTCCCTTTGGACATTTTTGTGGCACGGTACTGAGGAACTATGTAAAAGTTAAGAAGCTTTGAATCATGATGAAGAGTGGCTATCCTCGTTTATGCTAATTTGAATTAAAATATTTGCATAACCAACATACTCCCACCTGCTGCTTGTTATTCTTTTAATTGAAGATAAATGCCCCTTTCCTTTGGCTGGCCTAATTACCCTAATGGGGGGGGGGAGCGGGAGGGGGGAAAACAACTACTAGGAAAAAAAGGCTTTCTACTTTTAGCCAAGATATTTTGTAGGGAGCAATCAGATACAGTTCAACAACCAGAGCAAAGAAAGTTGTGGTCTTTGGTGGAAGCAAGTGAAACTAGGGGACTAATTGGGAGCACTGAAAGGTAAGCAACCTCGTACTCTGAATCCACTCATACTAGCTTCCAACAGAAATTTTATATAGTCTACATAGACCTCTGCTTCTCCAGAGGTCAATTCAAGACCTCAGTTTAAGATTAGTCTCCTAGGGTCTTGTCACTGGGTAGACAGGTTCTTCTATAGGGTAATTCAGATCAGGATATCAGTTTCCTAACTTTAGTACCTACTCTGGATATTTTAAAAAATATCCTCCAGCTACAGAAAATGTGCTTAGAGGCAATTATCCCTTTTGTCCTTCTCAATTTACTACAAAAAGGCATAATTTGCTTCTGGTGCTTACTGGCATAGCATGCACAGCACAGCTATTTACAAACAGTGTCCAGAACTATTCCCTCTATTGCTGCTCTTTCACCTTTTATAGAAATTAGTCTTTAAAAGGTAACCCAGTAGGAGTTTCTTGTTACATTACTCAAACTCCTATTGTTGCGACAGAAAATGGAGCATACTATTAAATCAAAAATACAATGCAAGTATTTTGTTGCTGGCTAATTGATGGGGAGCAGGGAGAGACCTACTATTTTTAAATTAATACAGGTGCTGGGTTTAGGTATTTAAATTTGAAGGTCTGGAGATGCCATTCCTTCTCATTCACACATAGAAATAAACATGAGCAGGAAATTTCCCCAGGCAATTCATGCACCTCACTTACAAACATCAGGCCAATCTCCACAACCCCCAACTCCATTATCTGCCTGATAAGGACATGAATGCAAAACACCACAAGATGCTAAAGAGCTGCAGTGGCTTTATACTCACTAGGTAGATCCAGAATGATCAACATCATACAGATTTCTCTAAGATGGCTCAGGGGCAACTGTAATTGTCTGTATGCAAAAGTTAAATCACAAGCTGTAAGGTCCCCCTGTGAATACATCAATTCCTGGTTGTTTTAATTCACTTTTAGTAACTATTCCAAAATAACTTCAAGCATAGACTAGCCATTAGTTTCCAAATCACAACCAAACCAGGTATTTTTAATTCATCGCTATTACTTTCAGAACAGTGTATATGTGGAGAAATCTGTGGCACTGCCGTGAAGAAAATAAATCCAGAGCAACCAAGGTCTGACAAAAGGAAACCCATCACCTGATGGTGAGTAAAGGGCTGTACTACCCAGCCACTCTTGCAAATGGTAAAATAATAAAGAAATACAAAAAAGATGGGAATTCACCAAAATTATATCCATTATCTCCCTAAAATGCTCAGACAGCTCAGTATTTCATAAACTTGGTCCTCTTTTTCACCTGAATTCAAATGTTCATGTTTAACACCATGAACAGTTAACTACTGTACTCAGTTCACAATAGAGTAAGCAGGAATAACTGGCATCTAAACAATGTGTAAGATTTATGTAAACAAATACTACAGATATTAAAACTAAACTGTTCCTAATGTATTACATAAACTCAGTTTCTAAACAGAAACTATTGTCAGTACCCAAGAATAGGGTTATTTATCTTAGTCCTTGGTGCAGCTTTCAGACTTTGGAGTGATCACACTCCTGTAAACTAATGGTTTACACACTAGTTTATTGTGTGTTTTGTACATTACAGAACTGTATGTTGAAAACAATACCAAAATTTTACTTCAATAATTCACATTTAGCTTTTCCTTAAACCGTGAAAAATGTTACCTGTCTTAAAATAACAAAAAAGGAAATTAAGAAGATTCTTGTGGCTGTTCTCAACATCACAAGTTCCTATCTATTCTTCCTTTTCTCCCCTCCCTACCTTCTTCAGCAAACAAAACAACCACAGGGCATGTCTCAAATCACAGAATGACAGAATGTATGAGGTTGGAGAGAGACCTCTGGAGGTCAACTAGTCCAGCCTCCAACTGCTCAAGCAGGGCCACCTAGAGTCAGTTGCCCCCGATGATGAGTATCTCCAAGGATGGAGATTCCACAACCTCTGTGGGCAACCTGTGGCCAACCCTTACCATACAATGTGTCATCTTGTGTTAAGTTAGAGCCTCCTGTATTTCAGTTTGTGCCCATTGCCTCTTGTCCTTTCCACAGGCATCACTGAGAAGAATCTGGCTGTCGTTTCTTCATTCCCCACCCTCCATCAGGTATTCCCACACATTGATCAGATTTCCCCTGGGCCTTCTCTTCTTTAGAGCCTTCACTTTAACATTTTTTCCTCCAAACTGCAGTTTATTTGTCCTCAGAAAAGGACCAATTGCAAAGAACCTAAGCAATTAAGCACCTGAGTGTACATGCACAAAATAATTTCAGATTTTAACAAAAAATGTGGCTGGGCAGTCGTAGGCAAAGAAAAATATTTGTATGTAGTTCACAAAAATGAAATGAAGAGACATCATTAATTACTGCACAAATACGTACATGAAAGCCTCTAAATGCTAGATCTTGACTTAAAAGTATGAGCATGTGATATTATGTGGGAAGCTACGTTTCTGGGAAAGATAACAGCTGATCTGGAGCAAGGCACTTACTTTCCTCACATCTGTAAATAGCTCTGGCCACCCTTCCACTAGTTTCCAGATAAATCTGGATGAGTCCCCTTTCTTTCTTTTCTCAACTTTCTTGACATTTGCATCACTTCAGTAACCGATGAAAATGAGTTTTCTAATAGTTGAGGGTATTTTTATTTGTTTATTTTTAGAAAAGGTGAACAAAACATGCAAGAGAAAAACTTCATTCCTCACAATGGATCCCTTTCAATTTAGGGCATCTGTCCTAACTGTGCCATTTATCATTCTTAAATGAAAACAAGACAAGGAGAAACTATAGCTATATAACTCCATCAAAAGTAATACTGCTTAGCCCATCTAGCTAAAAAGGAAAATCTCACCACTGCCTGCTAGTACAGAGGCTGAAACTTCTTAAAAAGAGCCACCTCCTGCTGAGCCCTTCTTTGAAGCTCATGAGAATCTGTAACACACAAGAATCATTTCTCATCCCTTCCTAATGTCAGTTACCACAATTTATCCCATGCCCGGTAATATTTAATTGAAGAGCACCTCCTGGCATTTCATTTTCAAGTCAGAAATCTAAAAATCACAGAAATCATTATCTCAGTGAAGGACAAATGCCTTCATTTGGGAAAAAATGTTGACTGTGTCCAACACAGCAAATTCAGATGCACTAAACCAGGATTTTCTAAGTAATTTCAAAGCTACAACTTATGGAGTCATTGTGAACGATTAATAACGAACATATAAATCAATATATATAAAGTCGCTCCCATAGTCCTCATAATAAAATGCTACATTTTATCTAGTTTTTTAAAATGTAATAGTCCTGCAGATGTAAATGGGAAATATATCCCATAAGATGCAATAAGTACACACAGTAAGAAGCAGGACTCTACACACAAGTTTTGCAAATGCACAGTGGGTAACATTTCTGATGACAGTAGAGCAATTAAACTACTCAGTCTTAATTATAGCAATATGAAAGATTATCAAAATAGTGGCAATATATCAATTACATTTGCCTGTTACTTTCATGCATTTACAGAACTATACACATAGATAGTTAAGTACATGAGATTTCAGAAGAGGGAAAGGGGATGCATTTCTAAAGAAAAAAACACCCCAAAACCCGACAAAAAAAACCCAAAAGACATACCACAGGCATTGGCAAGGGGCAGAAGAAGATCCTAGCTTTTAGAAACTTCTCAAGTTGTCAGAATTTCTTTAATTTGCTTCTTTCTGGATGGAATTTGAAAGATTTAAAGGTTTGGGGATGGATGTTGTTTCAGGCTTGTTTTTCAAGACAGCTAGTACAGCACTGGATAGAATTAATCTCAGTTTAGTATCTGACCTGAGCTAAATTACAGATTCCACAGTCTCCAGAGAGGCTCTCCAGAACATGATTCATTCTACTTTCCTTAAATATCTATCTTAGGGGGTGATTAATATCTCTCTAGAGGTGCCCAGATTCCTCCCATAAAGAAGATGCCTAACTTTAAGAGAGCTAACATTCAGTGAGATGAATTCTACTCACCGTGTACCATGATTACTGGACATCTTGTATCTGGAAAAGTTAGCATAGGAGCTCTAAGGAAAGAATCAGACAGAAAATACTAGTTTTTTAGTGGTTTCTGTTAGTTGGTTGGTTTTGGGGTTTTTTTGGTCTGCAATTTGGACCTCCAAGTACATGGAGATTATAAGGTCCAAACTCCTATGCAAAACTCTTCTATATAAGTCGTGCTCACTAATGTACTTAATCAGGTGTATAATTTAAAGAACAGAAATCCCATCCATTTCAATAGAGCTATCTAGGAAGACAGCTCAGAATTATGAATACAAGTAAGTACACTATTGAATTGAAGCCTTGAAGAGAAGAGGCTTTAAACGATAAAGGTATCATACTAGTTTTTAAAATTACCAAAGGAATTACGTATTTACCTACATGCCATCCCACATCAATTTCATAGATGGTATGGAAGCCCCCTTCTAGTGTGAGAGCAGGAGCAGTTCAGAGCAAACCTCTTTTTTTGGACACATTAGCCAAGGTTTTTTAACATTGGTTGCCAAAGCACATCTTTTACAAAGCTTCAGAAAGACAGATGAGATCAAAGGACAAGATTAAACAAAAAGAATATCCTTAAAAGCAAAATTTAGATAATGTGACTGAGGGATGGTCTAGTGATGGAGATGACAATACAATTCAAGAATAATTAAATTCCTCCAATGGAGGAACTGCCATCATTCATTTTGGATTAAATGAAACTAGAATATAAATTTCCTGCTATATGACTGCTTCACAATGAGACAGTCCACAGTAGTTACCGGACTTCGATTTCACACTCTTCATACCCTGTAACACCTTTCATGTGTAGACAAACCAAAAGGCACTTTGGCAAAGCAACATAGGAAATCCAGCACATCTCTTGTCCAGGCTTTTTCTGCTGCATGGGTGGAGAGGAACTCAGTCTCCAGGTACAGTAAAACAACAGTTGAAAGTAGAATTGCTATGAAACATTTTTTGCTATTACACTTCACAAAAGTAAATCCTAAATGACAAACTCTGAGATTTATACATATATGTTTAAGTATGTACACACATCCAAAAAATTCATATATACACATGAACATATGTGTGTACACATATAATTTATGTATACATGTGTATAAATAGGTAGACCCACTTAAGTACAAAATAGCAGAACCAAAAAGACAGTGATCTGTTCTTGCTTCTTTGTGACATATAAGGAAGGTCTAAAAGCATGTTGTTTTCTTTATTCCTACAAGTACTACAAATTTCAAGTCTGGTCTATCTTCTCTTTGCTGGAAGACTTCTTGGGACTTATAAGGCCATAGCTAAAAGTGCTTCTTACTCTCTGATTGAAGGTTGAAGTCTAGAACTACAGATGGAAGTCACTCCCAATCACTTCTCTGCTGTTTCAATTAATTATATGTTGGCAAAAGCTAAGTTTTAAACAGTCCAAAAAAAAAGTTGACTTCAATTTATCTTTCAAGTGACAATAGAGAATTCCCGAAAAAAACCAACGTGACATAAACAATAGAAAATACTTCAGTATGAACAAAATGTCAATTTAAACCTCCTTCATGCTACCTAAGAAGCAATAGAGAATGAAATTCTGTACACATACGTGATTACAAAACCACTTATTTGATTCACTGATGCCATAGAATTTAAGCTGTATTATCCACCAAGTTGACCAGTTTGAAGGCACAATGGTTATCATTTCACCCACACTCCATTCTATTTACAGTGAAAAACAAACAAAAAAGATCTCTTCAGAAAAAAAAGGAGATAAACATAGATACACCCCTGAGAAGTGAAATTTTACAACAAAAACATTTGTTTGGAAACACTGTTCTTTGTAAACTCCCATTATCTGAACTTGTGTTCTCCTATAACTAGAATAATAACATTTAATATTCAATTACAATGAAATATATTCCTTATAGATAAAAAAAGTTTAAAAGTTCCAAGAACAATAAATGAACCCAAACATAATTGAAAGAAATGAGGTCTCACACAGAATCATACCAAAGTTGACATCTTTCAGTGTGGAAGAAAAGTAAATCAATCTAAAGTTCTCTGACAACGCCTAGATTTCTAAAGGAAAAAAAAATGGAATGGTATAATCCAGTTGGAAATCCCATAGTGCCATCTGTGAGGAAGAAAAAATTAAAAAGCCAACTGTGCATGTCCTTCTTTGGATCTGGAATTCCCCAAAGAGTCAGCAAAATTTAAAAATTTGAAGAAACAGGTCTTTCAATAAAATCAGATAAATGTTCTGTAGCTGTTTCATGACATGGTCTCTAAAGTATTGGCACCAGCACAAAGAGATCAAAGCAGTCATTCAGGAGTCAGAGAGATTGTCAGATTTTTAATGATTCATAGCAGTCCTCTAGTAGCAGTTTGGTTATTTACTGCATGAATGAAGTGTTCTTTGCAACTGATCTTCAGTACAATAATGTACTTCTGCCAGACAAAGTATTTTTCTTCTTAGTCCAGTAGGCAATAAATGCCATCAATACAAGGATAATAGAGCCAATATCAAATGACAGGCTATATTTCATGGTCCATATTCATCAACAATGGCCAAAAAGGCAAAATTCTAAACTTAAGCTGTACATAGTGACATATTCTAGTGGTGCTATTCAAAGAAAAAAAAAAGTGAAAAGCTTCATCCAAGAAAGTGCAAAAGGAAGAAACTTTCAGAAATTGTCCACCAACACATTTTCCTTCTCCAGAGGCTAAGCAGTGCTAAAGAGAGAGCGCAATAGTACTTTGAGCTACCATCTCTTCAAAAAACAAAACAAAACAAAACAAACCCAAACAAAACAAATCCAACACTGAGGTTTGGTGATTAAAAAATCACCAGATCAACATTGCCTGTTTCAAACCCATTACATTTTCATTGCTGTTTTAGTGAACAATGATGCTTGTTTTCACTCTTGATAGTAAATTTGATGCCAGTGTAAGGGACAGTTGCTAACACATTACCCTAAATTCTACTTTTCGTGGTACTCTGCACAATAATCAGATGTATCACAAATCAAGTCTTGACCACGTCAGAAATTTGAAAAACTATGCTGGAGTTATCTACACATTACCAGCTACAACATTAAGTACCTGGCTCAAACTTTTTATATTGATACCAAGAAACAGATGGCAATTTTCTCTTTTGCTTCTGCTCTAAGTTCAGGAGGTTCAGGTTCTTGCATTTATCTGTTGTGTCACTTAGGCTGGACTGTAAAACATCACTACATCTATTTCAGGTGGAGGAAGGGAAAAAAATGTATCAGATACAGATCACTGCCAAACAACTGAAGAGGACAAAGTGCCTTTTTGATCTGTTCCTATACAAGCTTAAACAGCTTTAAAACCAAATAACTAATTATAGGCCAGATCACAGCATCTTATGCTGCAGGCCAAACTAGAATGCTACAATATCTGTGTATGTATATACAAATACATCTGTATACATTTATATATACACACACAAACACATAAGAAGGAAGCACCCATATTTTCCTTACTGCTCAATATTGAATGTTTGCTTTCACCTGGATATTAACATAGTTTACTGTGTGTAACACCCTTTGAAGGGACATTTAAGAAGACATTCATTTGCTTTTCATTAAAGCCAAACATATGGCTGGTATTTAAAAACATGCAGTGTTACCAATTAACACAGAGTAAAATAATTCTTAGGTACAATATCAACTCTTCAAGAAATATAATACATTTTAATGTATTTTACCCATTTGTATAGATAATTAATAGTTTCCACTATTTCACAGCAGATTTATATTCTTCTTTAAAAAAGTCAGCACAAATTTACAGGAAACAACTCTGTCAAATGAGTTCCACAGCAGCATATGTAGGGAGTCACTGGGTGAAACTTTTTTTTATGAACACATTAGGAAAGCTGGCATTCAGTTCTAGCACAACTCTGTTATCGATCTGCGAACAGAAGGACACATCGAGTAAAGAAAGATCTTTACAAGACTCCAGCAATTTTCTTAAAGATGCGGGGCTCACCATCCTTGTCCCTGTTCAAAAACAAAACAGAATTGTAAAGTTACTAAGAATAGTGTTTTAAAGCTGTTAGTACTGTGACATGAAAAAAATGCTACTATATCACAACTTTTATCTAGATTATTTCAGTTAGTTATCAAATTAAGAGCTTCTCAGAGACTGTGCAGAACTTTTACCTTTAAAAAGCCAACAGTATTTTCTTAACTCCTTAAGGAACCATCATTTTCTGTTGGGGGCAACTTTACAATTTCAAGGGGAATCTTTAACTACAGAAGCCAGGTACCCAAAGTCACAAAACCTCCCAGTGACCAGATGCTGGGCTTTAGCAGCAAGCAACACGGAACTCTACACTCATGACTCTCCTGTCAACTGCACTGACCAGCACAGCAGATGAGCTATTGGGAGCTACTCCAATTCCAAACACATCAGCAAGACTCCCAGGGCTCTGGAGTGAGTGTGGGTGTTACACACATGCAGAGGCAATTGTTCAAGAGATTATTGATCACACCTATATGTACACTAAATAAAAACACTATTTAATCATGCCAAAGACAAGACCATAGTGAATGAACTTTTAAGTGTCACACAGGGTCAGATCAAGCATGGGATTCAGTCAGAAACCAAATAAATGGACATTTATAAGCACGTATCCACACACTCATTATAGCTGATGGAAATCCAGTCAGTGGTCCACGGTGCTTAGCACAGGATGCAGCTGACTGGGCATTGGGGTATCAGTCAGTATCCAGTGCTCTTTGGGGTTCCTTACACCATACAGGACCCCATACAGAGCTGGCAGACAGTACACTGGACCCAGAAGAGGAGATTCATGCCTTACAGGAATGGCTGAAAGCCAGGCACATTACTCTAGGCAAGTAAAGTGAGTCTGGATGTCTATAGTGGGCTAAATAACCCATCAAGCTCTCCTGCCAAAAAGAGTTTATATATCCAACGCTACTGCTGAAACCTGCTGGTAGACACTTCAACTTACACAGCTCCATCTTGAGCTAACTGCATCTCAGAAAGCCATCTAGTCCAGGATCTTGTCTAGGGCCAGGGCCAATAATGTTCCCCACCTGCCCCCATCCAAAAAAAAAAAATGGAAAAAAGAAAAGCAAAAGCAGATTTTTAAAGTAGCTTTTCATTGGTTAATCTTCTCAATTGCTAAAAATTATCATTTTAGGGTTTTCTAAAGCTATCTTTCATGAATTCTACTACTTTTCTGAATTTCTTCATCCTTACAGCCCCTTCACAACTTTCACAGTTTAACTAGATAATGTTAAACAAACAAGCAAAAACCCCAGTCTATTAATTGCAATAATTAAGGGGCAATGAAAGAAGCAGTGAGAGATCATTCTCAGTTCGCTATTTCTATATGACTCATAATCCCATGGACATCTGTTCCCTCAAGGCTGTCTGTTTTCCAGACTCTCTTGCATCTCAAAATGACTCCTGTTGTGTTGTTTCTGCCCTAATTTAGTGCTTCCAAAACTGGCTGACCAGAATTGTACAGTGCACTGAGCGCAAAGTTAGCAAATTTATAATAAGGTCTTAGTGTGTTTTCTCTGTTTCTTGCCTAAGAAACCCTAATCTTCTCTATGCCCATTAGAATCACGTTGGGCAATGAGCTGATGTTATCCATAGGATGTGTTTCCAACAAAACAGTAGCTAATATAAGCCCCGTCCCCCATATGCTCAGTTTAATACTATTTTGCCTCACGCAACCACTTCGCACTTGATTGAATGGTTTTTCTCCTGTTTTATCACCTGTTTAATAAGAATCACAAGATCATTCCGCCATTTTTTCAGTGTTAAGTTCTTCAGTTTAAGCTTTTTCTACCCTGAATACCTGTGTGTTGCCCTCTGGCATTATTCACCCCTTTGCCTGGTTTACTTATAAGCAGATCAGTGCAGACCCTTGGTGACCACAGTAGTGATATAACTTCACTGCGAAAAGAGACGATACCTTCTTGTCCTCTGCTGTCTCTGAAACACTCATAATCCAGAAGAAGACAGCTAAGTTAAAAAAGCAGCACAACCTTGGCTAAAGCTTTTGAAAATTCAATACTCTATGGACTGGAGCAGTGCTCAGGTTCACCAAGAACTCCAAGGAATTCTGAGAGACTGGAGAGGCAGAACTATCCTTGCAGGGATGCAGCTCTGCTTCAAAATATGGTAATGGCCTTCTCATGTCTACTGACTGACTTTCTTATGGTTGCAACTGCTTTACACAGAGCAAAAGATAATACCACTGTTTTGTAGCTCCTAAACTGCACCCTTTGCAGAAAGTTGGGCCATATTTGTAACCCTGCATTACTCTAGCACTGAGGCTGATTTAAGTGACAGATCACACACCAGAAATAAGATTTCCACAGCCCTGTATTTGAGCTCATTTAGACTCCTGCATAAATACCATTTAGTCCTAACAATTTATTATTGTTCAATGTATTGATTTGTTCAAAAGCTTTCTATATTGGCATTCCAATTTAAGGCAGCTTTCCAGGCTAATCTCTTGGAAAGAATGGCACTGACGTAGCAGCTTTCTTGACCACCCCCCCCGCCATGAACACTAACAGACAGACAACAGTTCTCCTCCAGTAGCCTTGTATCTGAGCAATCCTTCACATCCAGACTATCTACCAACCTCAGTAATTCACCTGTAAACTTCTACCATGGCTGAAATACAGTTTTAACATTCACCTTTAGCCAATGGTTCCATAATATTTTATACTGCCTTATCTCAGATTTTGTTTCGCTTTCTAGAGTTCATCTTCCTATTTCCTCTGAACAGGATTCTTTTCCAGAAAGACGTCAAATGGTTTCAGTAGTCTCCAGTACTCTTCTGCATAAGCAAGGAAGTATCTAAATGTGCTCTTCAGTTATTCTGTGTCAGGCTCAGATTGGTTGCTTTGAGACATTATTGAACATCACCCAAAGACAGTCTTTGCTATTGTGCCCCAAATTTTACCTCATCTACACAGACAAAGGTTGCCATTATCATTGTGATTTTTAACTCCCTTATCATATGATCCCTGTCATCACAACTGTCTGGTGGTTGATGAAACAGCTCCTATGGCTTTACCCAGAAATTCTGTAATATGTTTTATTTATTCACTTCACTTGATCATAAACTTTACCACAGTATCACTGTTATACCATAAGGACCTGCTCTACCATTCCAAATGTGACTCTAGGAACAACACATTATGCTACTTATCTTTTTCCCACCAAGCCTTAAAATTGCTACTACATCAGCACCTTCATCTAAAACCAGTCTCATTTATGCATCACAGCTTTTATGTTTCAAGATCCAAACGTGTGTTTCTACAAAATGCTAGATCTAGATGCCTAGCCATAGAATTTTTTGTGTAGGATGTTCTTCATTCCTTCCTACCTGAACTTCGACAGTTCTCCTACCATTTCATCTAAGACTAAGATTTCTGATAGATTTGCAACTAAGTAGGTCATCCTAAATTGCATGTTTTACTGTACCTGTTCGGTTTTTTTTTCCTTCTCAAAATTTTATGTTAGGAAATACCTTTATCTAAAAGCAATCCATGGGGCTTGGTTATTCACACCTCAGGATAAGTAATCATCTGTAATCTTACTTTTATTTATACAACGTACAGTTAGTCATGCATGTATCTTAAAAGCCCATTCAAAAGCATTTCAGAATTTTAATATAGCACATTTTCCCTTGCTTTTGAAAGACTAACAATGTATCCTGCTAGTTGCCCATGTAGTGCATTTCTTCTAGAGTTTGGAGACTTTTGGACCTTTGTTATTTACTATTACTTCTCCTGCATGGACTAATCAGCCATTTCTCAGAATACAAACATAACCAATATATTAAAATCTGCTATTTACTTCTGCTGTTCAGTTAATTCTCAGAAAAAAATTTTCTGGCATCACTTTTGTAAAAGGCACTTCTAAACAATTTAATTTATATGTACCATATATCCGAGTCTTCAAATTCTAGAGCTGTTCAGGAGAGTTGTGCACTATAAAAACTGCCAGAGCCCCAGTTTCTAGGGCAAGGGATACTACTACACACCACATAATATTTAAGAGTAGAGACCTTGAAAATAGCTAGCACTCTTCCCTCAAACGTTCTTACTTTTCTTCCTTCCTCCCCCAGACCAACCAGACTAGCGTTTTAGTCTTTACATTTTTTCCAATCTATTCCACACAACTCAAATTCAAAATTTTAACATGCTACACATTTTCATGTTTGAATTGACTAACTACGTGTTGATGTTCTCAAGATAAAGCTGAAAACTTTGACAGCTGGCAAGGGGGCAGTTGGGTTTTCTGTTGCTCAGGAAGGTGTGGGAGGTGTCGGCATGTAGATAGGAATACATGAATTTTTGCGGTAACAAGGGTGTCTATTTTTCATTACCTTTTTGGTGCAGGACAGAAGCAGTTGGAACTTTTGGGGAGCGAGATTAATATGACTTACTCTTCACCCTTGACAGCAGCTGGGAACTCCACAGAAACAGAAATAAACAGCTGATGCTATGTGCAAGAAAAGCTTTCAGCACTGTCAGTTCAGGTTGATTCGTCACATTCTCAACACTATATCACAGTTTGAAGACTAGTTTTTAACTACAGGTCTGGATGTGTCCACTTAACTTTTGACAGCACCAGCTGATGTACTGCATCACTACAAGACTGCCAGATGATCACAGCTGGATCATCCTACCACAAGGTGGAAATATGCCATGTCAGTCAGTGGAAAAGATGTGGGCCAACAGGGAAATGATACTTATAAGCAGGCAGCTCAGTTTGTAACAACAGGTGAAAGAAAGCTCAGAACTAAAACTTCAAGAGAAGCACATCCTCATGTACTGAGTGACACACTTACATCACACTTCCTCTTCCAAACTTGTAATACAGCAGATACGGACCCAATCCATGATGTGTTTTTTTAAACAGTTTACTTTATGAAGTATGTTTTACACAGCACAAACATAGCCAGACATCCATGTTGTGAAATGAGTGTTTTAAGGTGTCTCAAATCATAATGCAGCCTTGGGGGAGGGCAGGGGATGCACCACCACAATCCAACAATGCTTTACAAGAGCCATAAGTTTATGGAGCTCTTGAAAAACAGCAGTTTTCACCTTCTACAGAGTCCTCTGACTCTGTAACAAGGAAATTGCCAAACAATTATGGTAAAGGACAGATGGGTAGCAAGCTGCAGGACCTATCACCTTAAAACAGCATCCAAGCTATAATAACATGCGTTTTGCATCACTTACAGCTCAACAAGATTTCTTTCAGAGGCTTAGACTCCTCCAGCTCTTAAGCTATTGTGATGATAAATAATCTATAACTGAAACAAGAAGTTTTCCCTAGCCAGTTTATAAGTTCTAGCAACTGCAGAGACACTAGTATAGTATATTCAACGCTGGTGACTACAGCGCAGAGTAAGACATTCTGACCTCTACTTAGGTAAGTGCCTATATACAGCAAAAAAAAATCTTGCTTTTATGCAGCTTTGTTGAAGCAAAAGAAGTTGCCTTACAGCACACAGTGCTAACCTAGACACAATACTTCTACACCCTCCACAATGCATGTACAAGCCAGACATTTCTGTACTTGGAAGATGACAAAGGATATAATGAGAACATCTTTCATTCGTTCACATCACAGGGAAGACCCACTGTTCAAGGTTACTCTTGCAAAGCTGAGTGTTGACCTCCAGCCTCTAACAGCTTCAGACCTGTTGTCACACTTCTTCTAAAGGACAAAAACATATTACACATTTATGCAGCTTAAAGTAACAGGATGGCCCTACATCAGATGCCAAAAGTTAGAGCACATACAGAGATTTATGACTTTCTTAGTACTCCTGCACAGTAAGAGACTAGCTCTTTAGTTCAGACAACAGAGACTTCTGCACTTACATGAGTTACCTGGCAACTCTACCTCCAGATGACCCAACATTGTTCCACTTGACAGCTCTTTCTTTTAACCATAGATTGTAGTGCTTACTATATTCAGACAAAGAAATTAACACAGTTTTCTTGCTGTTGCCAAAAAAGTGGGGTAAGTCCTTCACATCCTTCACATATATCGTATCACCTTGTACTGACCGGTTTACAGCAGAAGACAACCTTCTTTTCACTCTACTAAGTATTTCTCTGTAGGAAGAAAGTGAGGTCTGGTAGGTGAATACTACGGTTTTTGGTAACATCTTGCAGATAATTCAACTGCATATCCCCTACAGAGCATTTATCTGAACCCAACATGCAACCTCACTGAGAAAGTTTGATTACAAATCCACTTGACTCAGGAACATTGGTATGCACCTGGGCAACAGAACAAGCTCCTTTTCCCCATTCACATATCATTTTTCAACACCCCCCCCAAACATCAATAAGACGTTAAACAATTAAAACGTGAATTCAAATGCTAAAGAAGTGTGGCAACAAGCCTTCACTGCTGGCAGAGAGACAACAGAACTGGCAGACTATCCACAGGCTTAACACAGCCAAACTCTTCATTGGGGAGCCCCAGATGCAGTGAAGAGGTCTGACCACTTCATGGGCAGACACAATGCCATTGCAACAGAAATACATGGAAGTTGGTGGTCAGGAGCACATACATGTTTATGAAAGACTTAATTCACTATGCCATTAGGAAATTTTGTATGTCTGAATAGGGAAATGTGCCCTTGGTAATCTAGCTACAAAACAGATTCTCTTAAAGATACACAAAACACAGCACCTCCTGTGGACATATACATCAGGTCTCCACAATTTGTACTATGTGAAGTTAAGTTTTTAATCTGTTCATCCTCCTTTCCCATACTGGTCAGAAGACCATTTTGTCAGTCAAAGATGAATAACCTCTATTTCACAATAGAAGAGTGTACTACCTGTACTGGAGTGACAATCTGAAGCCGTATGTTAAATATTTTATAATGATAAATGCTGATAGCTTTCAACTTGCTTGGAACATTATTTGAGTTGAGGGCTCTCAGCTTTTTGCAGTGTCTCTCTCAACCTAAATGTAATATTTTCATTAAAATTATTAAATATTAAAAATATACAATGCAGCTAGGGTTTTTTCCCTTTCATTTAAGTTTTCTTTTTACAACTAACCCAGTGAAAATAGGCTGTCAAAGCATAAAGAAATTACTCTCACATTGATGCCACAAACTACCCTGCTGTCCTACATTATTACAAAGACAAAATCTTATATTCCACCATATAAAGAATAAATTCAGTACCCCACAAAACTACACTTCTCAAAGTCCTTACTCAAGAATCCAACGTATATTTACTTGAGATTTCTAAAAATATTTTTAACTGTGGAAGCTGCAGAGGATTAAAAATTTCAGATTTGCTATACTTTTTGCCCCTCACCACTTCCTTCCCACCTTTCTAGAAAGTCCGTGTAAAGTTTTGCTGGTAAGTACCTTTTCATCTTTAATAACTCAAATTCCCTTCCTGATAAAAGCAACAAAGAAAGTCAGTATTGCATAGTGTATCTGTACTGCACAAAAGCAAAATCTGTTTATTGATCACAGACTCATACTATAAATATACTTTGTCATAGAAAGAAAATTATAAATAAAAGCAGAAAAAGGATAAGAAATTGGTTCTTCTAACAGTCAAAGAGAACGATTTCAGTTAAACAAAGCTATGGTCATCAAACTAAAAGTTATTGGAAAAAATCCTGCACTTAAATCTCAGTTTAAGCAATTCATACTAAGCAGTCAAAGTACATAGCTGGTATAAACCCACTGGATTCTGAGTCAGAAACCTACTGCAGTGAGGAAAACTTCCTCTTTTCTTTTCATATGCCAAACCATAATTTTAAGAAACAATTATTTTAAGGTCTCCTTTTTAACCACAAGGTTTTTGAGACACAGCCAAATAAATACCAATATTCCCGTATTTTCTTACCCAATATATCCAGCTGCCGTAAATGTGTACAGTTAGCAGCAAGCTCCTCGATGTCTGTGTCACACACAGACCTGTTGGCCGTAAGGAAGAGCTTTTGCAAGTTTGGGAGTTTACGTGCAAGGTTCGTGAAGCAGCCTGTGCTGCTCTGTAACGTAGGGCACCAACCAAGATCAAGTTCTTCCAAAAGCTGGCAGCCTGAAGCCAATTCTGCGATTCCACTTTCAGTTATGTTTTTACATCTCCACAAATCCAGACTACGAAGCTTTTTGCATTTTGCTCCCATCATGCTTGCTATAAGGTCATAATCTTCAATCTGCAAGGAAAGCAAACACTTTGTCATGTGTACCATCTTTCCAGACATATATGCATGTTTCAAGATTTGCTTCCTAACACCTACAGATTTGTCTTAAGCATGTAATTTCTAAAGAGCTCTGAAAATTGTTCACTGTAGAGTACAATGAGGTCTACTTTTACAAAAGACAAAAATAAAACTAATTTCCTATAAATTCCAGACATAAGTGTTTCTAAATTCACTTAGTTTCAGACATAAATATTTTTGAATTCACTTAAAACTAAAGATCAAAATGCACCAAAAAGTTTATTTTCTTTTAAAAGTACTTTTTTCAGAGTTGTTTTTCCTGTAAAAGATTATTACAGCTATTTTTATGACCACAGGTACTGCAACCATAAGCACTTGCAGACTGAGGAACATGCTTATTTTCCAATTTAGGTTGATCAGTTGCTGCATCTCTGTCTTATTAATTACTTTGGGCAAGCCAAAGGGACTTTTACAAGGGCATGCACTCAGGACAAGGGGTAATGGTTTGACATGGTTTGAAGCTGGCTCCCTGCCAAGTCTCCAAACCTTACCACAAGAAGTCGTCCCTCCCCCCCAAACCTCAGGGAGAAGAGGGAGAAAAAAAACAACCAAGAAAACCGAAACGAGAGAGAGACAGCTAAAGCAATACATATAAATATATTTACACTTACATTACAGTTATATACAATTGAAATATATATATATTTTCACAAGGGAAAGGGAAGGGGAAAGGGAAAAGGAAGAAAACCAAAATAAAATATATATATATCCTGATTAGTAGCCCAATATCTAGCAACTAAAAGAATTGGCAAAAAAACCTATCTTACTACTCTCCTTGGGACAACGGAGAGTCACGCTGGAACGACCGCCGGCAACCTCCGCCTCCCAAGGTTGACAAGGCCTTACCAGGCCTCGCTCCCCAACACAGCAGACTCAACAGCAGGGAACCTGCACCTCCAAGTCGCCGGAAGGAAAGAGAGCGAAGGCCTTCCCTCCTTTCTTCGTATAGCCCGGCTTACATAAAAATCGTAGGGAATACTGGGTAAATCTGGGCACTTCCTTGGCTTCAAACTGGTCACCAAGGAAGGCCTAGACCAAACTACCACATGGTTTTAAACTGAAAGAGCGTAGATTCAGGTAACAAAGAAATCCTTTACTGTGAGAGTGGTGAGGCACTGGAACAGGTTGCCCAGAGAAGTAGTGGATACTCCATCCTTGGAAGTGTCCAAGGTCAGGTTGGATGGGACTTTGAGCAACCAAGTCTAGTGGAAGGTGTCCCTGCCCATGGCAGGGGGGTTGGAAACAGCTGAACTTTAAGATCCCTTCCAACCCAAACTATTCTGTGATTCTTGAACTATGAGGAAGCTCGACTAAGTTGCCCCAATCAGCAATTTGCTACCACCAGGGATAGCAGCAAGCCAGAATCCCTCTACACACAGCTCAGATGTGCACATGCAATACAGCTCAAATGAGTGCCCTGCAGGAATTGCTGCTGTCCCTGTATTCACTTTCTTCAAACCAATGAATGTGCCCAGCAAGTCTACAACTCAAATGGCTTTTGCCAAAAGATATTGCTCTTGTGGTTGTTACTGCACGGTCAGACACAAGAATTAAGCTGCTAGGAATGATGATCTGAGCTGAATAAAAGTAAGTAATTATTATTAACTTTGGATTATTAGCCTTGGAAAGAAAAAGCAATTATGCATATAAAGAATGTCCAAAAACTGTCAAAAAACGCCTGAAGAACTATGAAAAAGCCTACAAGATATGCTTTAGGCCCACTAAACTGGTATGTAACCCCTACGTATATGACCAAGCTGCATTTATGTTGGACTTTCCAAGCGAGTAGAGTCTAATATCAGCCTAGCATTTAACACACTGTTGTGAAACAACCCCAGACTGAGTTCCAAAGCGAGCGAGTGTATGCACACATACACCCCAAGAAGCTCTAGTACTCACCATGACACAGCTGCCCAGGCTGAGGTGCTGCAGCTCCGAGCAGAAGTTCAAAATACTGAGCAGGGCTGTTTGCTGCCAGGGGGAACACATCCGAAGGAAATATGGAAAGTGAAACAAAGAGGTCAATTAGACATTAAAGGTTGCCACTGCGTTTCCTGAAATACAGCTCAAAATTCTGTTACAGAGGGAACAAATGCCACTTAATGAGTCCCTGGGTACTTTACCCATTGGTTGGCTTAAAGTAAAGGTAATCATTACAAACCTTTATGCAAATCACTTTGGATGGGGGGTTGCATTGCCCTGAAGATACCCACGTACCACTGACCTATCTGCTCATTTCCCATAGCAAAGCTGCAGAAGAAGTGTGGCAAGATCAAATAACAGGCAAGGCCAGCCTGAAAACACAAGAGAGCTGGCGACACACCAGAAGAAGAGCAGAGGCTCTGACATTCGCTGATCAGCTGCAGCCTGATGGAACTGCCAATAGAGCTGCACAGCATCAGTTGGTGACTTTAATGTCAAAGAGTCTCCGTGCTGACAAGGATGCTGACAACCACGGAGCACCTGTCACTATTAGCATGGAGACTGAAACATGTAACATGTATTTTACAGCCCTGTTCCTGCCATTTAATGTGGTCATTCTTTTCAGAAAGCACTGCATGCTGCTCAGCCTGAAACTGGACTGAAACATCAGAGGCATCTTATAAAATGTACAGTACGTGGCCTGTCTCCTCCACAGCAAGTGAAACTTCATGGATTTTTATTTCTGTTTCTAAGATACAGAAAAGACCCTCCTGCATTGTCTGTAGTCATATTTTGTTTTCTTATTGGAAACATGCACAGTGCAAAAAAAGAACAGTCTAGGATTCACATCACAAATAGTTGTGCATCATACTTAAAACATCACTTTGTTAGGACTTTGTAATCTATATGAGCTGAAAACAGGGTTAAGCTTCACAACACAGTAACAATAAAAGTACGTGGATTTCTACAGGATATACAACAGTTTCTAGCGGATAAAAAGCCCAAGCAATACACAAGTGACAAATAATCTACTGCTATTAAGTGTAATTCCAAAAAGAACACTCATCAACAATATTCGTGCGCATGGATAATATAATTTATAGGTTTTTAAAATATAAATTTACTTATTTGCAGAAAGTTTACAGTTAAATGCTTTATGTAGTTTCCTCAGTTTGTTGCTTTCTAATGAAACTTGGCACAAACTCATCCTTTGTCCTATCACTGAGAAGTAACATGTGATTCCTTGCACAGAAAGACTGGCAGACACAGAACAGGGACACAGAACAGGGACACAGGGTATTCACAGATACCATTTCAGACATCTAATTTAGGTGTCTCCGGGGAGCAATTATAAACACTCAACACTTGACAGGTATGGAATCTCGATTCCAACTTGGCCTTCCAAGATTTGATTTCCTAAAGGCAGCCTAAAAGTAGATGCTAAGAGTAAGCCTTCCTCACATATATCTTGGTAGAAGTCTTACAAAGTCACTATTCACTTGCTTGCTTGCTTAACTTTCATTCATGTTTTTAAAGGAAAAGGTAGCTAGGGAATGGAACACAAGAGCATTGAAAAGTCACTATTAAAGACATTATTAAGAACATCTTAAAGCTCATAAATGTGTAAATATCCAATTCATTTTAAATTACACACTAACTAAGCAAATGTTTCATTTGGATCACTAAACATGAATAAACGACTAACTCAAAGAGAATGACACACAGTCTTTACTATTTAACTCAGTGAAAGCTACGAGCTTTAGAACCTACTCAGGTGCACAAATTAAAAGCAAAATCCCCAAATCCCTCTCTCCAAACCCTAAATATTGGAGATAAAAAAAGCAGTCTCTGACTGCACACACAGTTCTAAACAGGGTTTCTGCAAGTATTCAGATGACTCCACAGGAAAGCTGAGTACCTTGCTGCATTCCACCAAGCTTTTTAGTAATGGTTTCCAGACTGGAATTTACACACTGGCCTGAAAGGACAGGAACCAGCGATCTCTTTCTTTAATTGACACAAATAGTACAAAAGTGAACAGTCACTCTGAACAGCTTGTAGGGTGTGAGATCAATTCCATACTTCTTCAGAAAGGGTAAAATAGATAGGAAGACTAGTATTCATAGTTATCTTGATAGATAACTGAGCTCCTTATGTTAACTTCAAAAGGAATGTGATGCATCTCTCAGAGTACCTTTTTCGTCCCTCTCTATTTAAGACAGTCCTTCCTGTACTGACGTGCACTGAGCCCACATTTTCAAAGGTCTTTTCACAACCTGTAACACCTAAAGTATTATTTTAAACTATTATTTAAAAAACCCAAAAAACTTTAAAAAACGCACTAGAAATCTGGGTAATAGAAAGGAGCTTGGTAGAATATCATGTCATACCATCACAAATCATGCCAAGTCAAGCCCAAGAGTAAACAACTACATACTCAACATTAATTATACTGGCTATATTAATTCCTCTTCTGGGGTGCATACATGCCCACACACAGCAAACCAGACTTCTTTCAGATGCAGTGCCTGTTCTTCTGTAACTGAGGTGGGCTTTGCATATGTCATGTAAGAAGAAAAAAACCTTTGTGCATGCCTAGCTGTGCCTCAGTCAACTGAGAATCCAGGTGGCAAAAGACAAGAAAATAGCAGGAGAGAATGGCAGCTCACAGAATCCATATGCACTACATATAGAAGGACTATCATTGTAATAACCTGTCTGTTTCAAGCCATCTGTCTGTACAATTCATCTCTCTGACTTGCAATACAACATGAGCCATAACACTCCTATTCAAGCAAAGGAAAAGAGCAAGGCAATCATCCCATCCTGAAGCTGTAGCACAGGCCAAACTTCAAATGTTAGAGTGCTTCACAAGAGGAGCTGAGGCCACCTAAATTCTGTATCAGCAAGCTTTAACCTGGAGTCTAATTTCACTTTCTCAGCCAAGCAGAGACAGTCAAATCAAAGACTATCCATCTAACAACATTCTTGAGCCTATCAGCCAAGACATGTATAGTTTGGAGATTTTTTGAGTTTTCTCTGAACCAAAAGTAAAGTTTAGCTTCGCACCTGCTCCCTTTTATAGAGATTGAGAAAAGAGTAGATGATTAACAATACACCAAAACAAAACAAAAAACCACTCCGTAAACAAACTTAAGATTTACTTTTTCTTCGTGGAGTCATGGCTTCAGTGGTCTACATTTCTTTTGCCATCCAAGCCAAAACAAAACCTACTAAAATACTTAATTTTTGTAAGATGGCAAGACAACAGGAAGAGTTCAAAGGGGGCAAATAAAATCGTCTGTCCTATCCTCCATTCCCAGGAAAGACGTTTTTAGATGAGGAAAACATACAGTGCAGAAGTTGCTTTCAGAGAGAAGACTGATGTTGAATTGATCAGAAGGATATGAATAGTGTTGCTAAACCCAACATTACAGAGCAGATTTCAGAAATATTTTAGGGCATCGTAGTTAGTCCTAAACCTCAGAAAAAGGGAAGACTGACTGCAGGTTCTCTGCAATCTTTATGAACAGGTCAGAAAAATGTGTGTCACAAAGGACAGAGTTGATCATGCCTTGGACAAGAGATGAGATTACTGTTTGAAATCCTAATTTACTCCACACAAGACAGGTGACAGGACTGCTCAAACATCAAAGCCCTCTACTCTGTAACACATGCCAGCCTGGAAGACAGTTACCTGTTGTGTATAGTTCAACTAAATAGCTGATACTGGACTAAACTGTATCTTACCTGTCTTTGTAAAGATCTTGGCCATCACACGTATGTTTTGACTTAGATGATGCAAAAGCATTGTTGGTTTGAACAGACAACCCATCAGCAGAGAAACCAAATACTGGTGCCAGAGAAATACATTTGGCGAGACGGAAGCTTACTTGGCTTTTTTCAGGATTTTTTACATTCATGATACAGCAAGAAGTGTAAATCATTTCTAATGTTAGTACGAAAGGAAAGCATCCAACAGATAGCCTGAGCTCAGTATCTGTTCAAACAGAAAACCCTTCTGTCTGGCAGATGTGACTCACCTGTGAAAGATGCACTTTGAATATTTGACTATTTACTCACTGCAGTTTCATTGTCGAGTACTCAGAGATTAAAAAAAAATAAAAAGGGTTTGAAAAATACAAATGATGCACTATAATATAACTGTCACGTAATGGCTGCACTATCATACAAGGCATGAAAACAAGTGTACCACAGTGTGACTCTGAAAGATTAAAGGAAAAGCTTAAGAAAAACAACAAAGTTTTACTTTGGGGTTGGGTTAGGGAAGAAATAGGCTGCACCTTTTAATAAACTTTCTTTCTATAGACAAATCTGAAAAGCTACTTTTAAATTTCTTACTTTTTTTCTGGAGACAAACAACAGGCTGTTTTTCCCCTTTCTCAGAACTGTGTATGACATAAGCTGGGAATTCTTCCAGCCCTTCAGTGAAACAAGAGCCTAAATCTTTTACAAGACTCTTATTCTTCTGTAATTTTTTCTTCAAATTTTTCATTGAAGTGAAAGCTTAGATAAAAGAATCTTAGGGTCTCATTAAAGACTGCTTCCTCCCTTCTTTAAGTCTGGTTTCCTTACACACCCCCCAATGTACAGTATCCTATATAGTACCATACATGTCAGAGCATCTCAGCCTTCTGTGTATCTATCCTGATACCACAGCTACAAAACCACCAGTTTACTATACAAATTTTATTGATGGAAAAAGTGTGGCAGTTGTCCTGGTCACACATTAGGAAAACAAAGCTCATGGGTTAAGTCCACAATTAGTGCCATCAGCACGAAGTCACAGAATCACAGAAGAGCCGAGTGTGGAAAAGAACTTCTGGAGACTGTTTATCCCAGATCACCTTGCTCCAGGTCAGCTGGTGTCTCCAACCTGACTGAAAAAAGCTGTCAACAGATGTAGGAGCCAATCCCTTTCATGACTTCTCAGCTGACGTCTGCAGAAGGGGATAACCCTCTAGCCTGCCCTTTATTACCACAATCAAAGCATATTTGAGTGATGCCTTCTGACACTAACGCAGACCATTTTCATTTATAGACTCAAAATAAATATGGCAGCAAAATCATTTTCCTATACAGTAAAAGCTGGCATTAGAATAGGAAGTCTATTCTCCCTCAAGCATCCATCAGCTATCACCCCAGAAGATATAATAACAAAAGGGAGAGAATTGGAATGTATTTGCTAAAAATAAGCTCCCCATCTCCCCCTAATGCACTTGGATTATTGAACTATTTTTGAGATGAAGAACTGGACAGTGATAAAACTTTTGCCTCCAAAACTTCATGACACAGGTTTAAAAACAGATTCAATATGAACACTACATCAGCATCAGGTAAGAGAAGAATGAGAGTATATGGAAATGAAGGTCGAATGAACTTTATTACTGAGTGCAGGTGTAGTCTTTCAAAAGTCAGAACACTTGCTTCCTCACAAACAGGTGCAGTGTAATTTGCAAGCTGGGATTCAGGATGTACAGGGGCACCTTTTTGTTCTCTACAGCTACTTGGCAGTGCCAGGGATACAGCAGGGACTGAGACACAGCAACATGACAATTACTGAATTAATTAAATGAAAGTAATAGTCTCTGTAGTTAATTCAATTACTGTATTTTGGTTTTGCTTCATTTGGTCAAATTATGTCCTCCCTTATGTCTGTAAATTTGTTTTACACCTTCATTCTTTCCCCTCACTCTTCACATTACAAGCTCAAATGACAGAATTCCATCCTATGAGCCCAACATGAAATCAGAAAGCATCATTGAGGTGCTTTATTGCACAATTATTTGTCACCAGCTCAACCTATGTCCAAAAATCCACATTCCAGCTAGAGGCTTTCACCTTTTTTCCCCACTATTTGCTCGCAATTCTTAATCCTAAAGATTTATACCCAAGCCAAAGGAATTTTGTCCAAACTGAAAATCCTCAGACAACAGCTCTCAAAAGTATAACATGACCCGTAACAGGTTATTTCTGAAAACTCTGTAGAACAATTTTATGGCAGCATTAACTCTGTTACTGCTCATGGCATAAGAAAATAAGAGCTATTACATTTACTGCTAAGATTCTTATGCTTCTTTTTGGTATCCAAGATTTCCAGTGTCTTTTCTCACAGCTGCCCAAGTTCCAAATTTGCTTTTGGTCAAAGGTATCAGAGATAAAATTTATAAATACAACATCTGCTTAAAAATATGTGAAAAAAAAAAAGTCCTTTGCCCACTGCAATTAGCTTTAAATTTAGTTTGTTTTGTATTTTAAATATAATTGCAATACAAACTGTAAAAACTTTTTCTTTATATATTTAATGTTGCATGATATTCTGATTCTTTATAATATGTAATCTTATGTTACAATTTACATCCAGCAATAAGGAGACTGACAAGTTCTCCTACTGTAATTGTGGATTCCATTTCTTTAAAATAAAATTTTGGCTGAATTATTTATATGGATTGAATACTTCATGATAAGCATTAAATCATGATAATATTCATGCTTAAAGCAAAAAGATGTGCATTGCCAGTTACTGTATATACAATAATATTTCCATTGTTCATTGTATTCTTCAAATGTATCAATGCCAATAAGCGCTTAAATTATGCTGTGAATACACTCTCAGTGAATAAACACTATGCATCAGTAGATACCAAAACCACCAGCACAAAAACCCCACAAGTATAATAGTGGTCTTGAGTGCACAGAAATTACATTTATAAAATGTTGAGATTAGTTTCTCAGAGGAAGTCACAAATTATTTCAAACATACACATTATCAAACAATCTTTAAGAATTAAACCTTTTAAAAGTGAACTTATAGTACTGGAAAAGTGAGCTGCATTTTGTGGGGAGGACTATAGCAATGCAGGCCATTTTTTTTTAGTTACTGGAAAGTTACTGAAGGTCGCTGGGCTTTCCCTCTTCTAACAGAGAGGTTGGAATAATTCAGAGGCATTAGAATTTTCAACTCAGAGGTTTGAAAACAATTTTACACACACAAACGTGCTCTCAATAAGTCAAGGAAATAACATTATACATGGCCTTAAGAATCAGTAGGGTTAGGACCAAAGAACATAACCTTCTCCAGATCACACAGCCATCTTCCAAAGTGGCAGTGCAATAAGTAGCAGAACACCTGCATTGCCCATAACATTAAAAACAGACACTTAAAAATTGAAGCTTTGATTACAGAGACAATGGCAACACCTTTAAAAACAAAACCTATTCAAAGGAAACAGCTAAAATAACAAGAAACTGTAATAACAATTGCTCAGATGACAAACGTTACCACTTTTATTACATTTTCACTGTCCTCAAAATCTATGTACCTAACACAAAAACCATTACAGTAGTCAATTTTCTGAGAGCGTTTTCTTAGAATTTATCTGTTAGTGTCATAGTAATCATATAAATGGAAAAAGTACAACAAATACTTTAAATTTAGATGTTGAAAGAATTTTTTTCCTCTTCTTTTTTAGCATTGAAAGCCAAGCGAAAAAAAAGGAAAGACTACCACATGACTTAGACTGAGCAAGGAAATCCTGTACCTGGGCAGGTACTTGGGAGTGTATATGGAAGAAATACGATTTCTTTTATTAAAATGTTCATTCTGTACTTTTTATAAAGCATAATGCAAAACCAGGAACAGTTTTATCACATACTGACAAAAAGGATGGAGAATGTTATTTAAACACATGTCCAAATTCACAGCCAAAAGAAAAAGTTGTACTATTTACCCAGATGTGCTCTAACAAACGAAAATTTGGTGGTTATTATTTGGTTTAAGAAAAAAAGCAAGCCACTGAATTATTTAGGAAAACAGGCTAAATGAAATGAACAGATTTTTCTTTTGGTTTCTTCTTCTTGGATTTTGAGATAGAACTTTAACAGAGGACTGTATCAGCTCTGTTCTTCTCACCTTCTTACTTACTTTCTCTCAATAAATATATACTTGTTATCATTTAAGAGTTTTCCTTTGTGGATTCACAGCTTTAGATTCTTTTCACTGATCAGATCCAGTTGGCAAAAATACAATTGAGCCAAGCTCTTGACTAATTATTAGCATTGTTTCTTTGTTTGCTCTTTAAAAGCTCCAGCAATGAAGATAGTAGTAGAAATTTCACAAAAATCAGGAACACAACTATATTACAGCGCTTTGACAAGTTTTATAGAAGTCTTACTCACTTCACAGCATGCTTGATCAGTCTATCCTGTTTTGTATAGAGCCACCACTTACTACCAAGCATCTCTGTACCAGCTGAAGAGTACAGAAGGAATGGCAGCCTATTTTGTGTAGAAATCCAAAGACTTGCATTAAGAGAAGCTAATGCTGAGAAAGGTGATGTTATTTCTACAAACCTGTGGTTTTTGTAACTCTAATGCTCTAATTCAAATCCTATTCCACATCTTCATTCTCTCCAGTTTACTTTTCTATCTGAGATGCACAATGTATATTGTTAAGTGGCTTCACATTAGCAAGTAACACAAAAGCATGCTCTCTAATTTACCTATTTAAATTTCTAGAAATTCTCTTCCACGGTTTGTTAGGAACAGTGCCTTTTGTTTACACTTATGTATAAAATGGAAGCACAATCTTAAGAAAACTTGATTATGAATGAATGTTCTTGGCAGCTACAAGCAGATGCATGTCCATACACATGAAAGGCAGAAATGAATCTTCACAATTTAAGGGCTTCAAAGTCAGGAAATCTTTACCACCTACATTCAATCTAATTTCAAGCTCTGTTCAGCAAAGCGATAGAGGAGAAATGAGTTACCAATCACTTCAGAGTATATCTCAGCTACTGCGCTATTACAAGCATGAAGTCTCAAACTTTAGAAGTTACCTGAGTAGAATCAAGAAGATTCTGATCAATCAACAGTAGAAAATAATAAAATTATACAATCATTACCTTTGATACAATGATCTTCCCTGGATCTGAGAAAGCCTTGTAAATTAGACCCAACGGTCAAAACGAAATAAAGGAGATTTATCCAAGATTTACAGAAAGATTAATGATGTAGAAACAGAACAGATACACCCAAGGCACTAACTCAGCTCTATACAAAATGCACTTAAAAGCATGGCTCACCAATTTGTTTTTTAGTCTGAAGAAAATAACAACTGCTTCAGAGCAACTACCACAAAGTAAGAAGTTAATGAGGGGCACTGGCTTCATGGTGACTGTGGCATAGCCACAGCAAATGCCAATCATTCAAGACAGGCTATCCTTTAATCTGACTACCTTGTGTTACCAAATCACCATCAGATACCTTGCTAGACCTAACTGAATTCTTCAGTATTGAAAAAAATACACAACTTTACCTTACCGGGACTGAAAATATTTATTGCAAAGGTTAAAAATACTTGTTCCTACCTCCACTTTCGTTCTGTAGAGAATGAGACGCTTTAGGCTCCCCACTTTGGCTATATGGTTGAAAGCCTGAGGTGGTATTTTATCACATGATGAGAGATTTAATTCCTGAAGATTTGGACACATTTCAGTGATGACCTCCAAGCACGCTTCATTGAGGAAATGGCCACAAGACAATTCAAGACGTACTAGTTCAGAGCCACAAACTTTCAAGAACCTGTAAAATAACACATTTTAAGTGAAAAATAAACATACTTTCAGGTGAGAGTCTGAATACTGTCAAAATCTGAAACATGTAAATCAGGAAATAATTCCTTTCAACAAAGAAAAGCCATTAGTCTTAACAATTCTGTTTTGTTTAGAAAGTTGGAACATGCTTTGTTCTTAGCATTTACTCTGAGACAATGTACCAAAGTACAGCACTGATAATGTCTGAAATGCTTCTAGACTGTCCAAGGCCAATTTTGACAATGGCCTCCAAGTTTCCCCCAATAATTTCATATTTATCCAAGACAAATCTTCAAGTGTAAAAATGTGGTTAAACCAAGCAGTTTCAAGACTTTCAGGAAAAAAAACCTCATTCCTTTCATTAACGAGTAAGTCAAAATGAATATTTGGTAGCTGTTCTAGAACACAGAAATTCCTGAGAACTATTTCACTTTACTTTCATTAGAATTATAAAAAATCAGGATATCAGATGACTAAAGATCCAAAATTTAGAAACTTTGATGGTCTCTACATGAATTACACTTCCTGTCAGAGATCTTGTGTCAGAAACTCAAGCTCTATTATGTCTAATCCCAGCTTTAACTAAAAATACACAAGCTTATGTCACAAGCTTAAGTCCCTTTTTATTGCAAAGATAACCTTCAAACTGTAAATCAATCACTGAGCTTGTAAGTTTGATATTTAATAGGATAAAACCCCCTACACATTTGCCATGTCTTTGTTGTATTTTTATGGTTTCTCCAGTAGAAAAAAATCTAACTTCTTAAAATACAGGCTGCAACGAGTTTTGCATGTGACTTCGTAGAATAATGGATCTACTTGTGAAAGAGCACGAATTAGTTTCTCTCAGCAAATATTCTGACCTGCTCTATTACCAGTTCTATCCTACAAAAACCTTCATGCAGACAAAGCAGATTCAGGTCCTGATACTTCCGCCACAAAGTTACTTCTTGGGTTTAACTGATACAGCAGAAACAAGGCTTCTGTTTGGACAAAAACTACTATTGCTACAACTAAAGAGCTATTAGCCTTCCCAAGCATCTGCTCCTGCTGAAACTGCTGGCCTTAGAAGCAGACACATTCAGGGAGGCATTCCTCAATGACACTAACAGTAGCGTAGGACTTGAAATCCATCTTTCAAGATCCAAGTTTTCAAACCTTCTCCTTGTTTTTTCATTACTCACTCAAGTCGTACTTCTCATTCATCATCGTCCTTCTTTATTCCTTTCATCTTGCATATTACATAGCCTTAGTTTGACTATGCAGATCCTATGCAACACAGAGGGAGAGATTCCAGGGTGGCAACTCCAGCCCTGGATGTTTGTTTCCAAGAGTCACCTGAAACCTTGACTGACCTGATCTAGCACTGGGGACACTGGTACCTCAAGTGGGGGCCTGGACTAGACAACCCTGAGAGGTCCCTAACATCCAACATTTCTATGAGCCTATGTGAAGAGAAACAAGGAGAGGATCTAAGACATGAAAGGGGAGACATAAGCCCCAGAGCCACAGGAGTTCTGCCATGTATCCAAATTTACTCCTCCGCTATTTTTGCCTAACTTTGAAGCCCCTCTGCAGAATCTATTTTAGCCTGTAAAATCAGTTTAATCAAACACCAAGCACTTATTTGCTGTTTCCATACTGGATACAGTGAATTGGCCTAGACTGATAAGCCTTCCTATGGGAATATCAGAGCTGAAGTGACATGACAATTCACAACAATTAACATTGGGTATTTAAACATTAAGCTGCTATTTTCTGACTAGCAATAAAGTTCAACACTGTCATGGAGAAATGCAGGATGGAAATCAGAGTAGAGATATACGGATACATTGCTGATTACCAATTAGCCAATTCCTCTATTTAATGAGTGCTTTAACAATACATTCACACAGCTTCTTTCATCAACAAATTATCACGTTTGTTTGAATGGCAATATTTTCCATAAAACTTTGTCAGTTGCCACTTATTATACATCTAGCTTTTAATCTGGTAATGAATAAATATTTTATGAATTACACCATTACAATAATGGATGTTAGTTTAACTGCCACATAATTTAACAGGGTTTGGCTGCTATAAATATTAGTACAGATCAATGCTTTTCTCTTTCTAGGACTATTAAAAGTTAATATTACCAAGTCAGGGAAATGCTCAGTTAACCTCCTAGACTTGGAGAAGAACTCCAGGCTCACCAGCTTGAGGAGTTATTATCCTCATAATGTTTTATTTAAACTCATTACACTTGAAACACACAGGCAGACAGCAAACACAGTAACAGCAACGAGCATTGCCCTTCATGGCTTTGCTGCCCTTTTGGAGAAGGTTATTTAGGAGACATTAAAGAGAAACACAAGGGGGATAAGGGACATACAGCAGGGCACAAGAATGAGCAGAGAGGCATGTAGAAAAGAGATGAACAGAAACAGAGGAGGAACCTGAGGAAGTCACCAGACAGCACAGGACAGAGAACTAGGCAGAACTGCAGAGTTCTCTAAACAATGGAGACACCCTCATTTTTGTTTGCACTTAACAGACTGCTCAGAACTGAGGCTTTTGCTTACGTCTTTCTACATGGATCTCCATGTAGAGCCATATGGCAAGGTAGAATACAAGTTCTCATGCTTTCAAAACAAATGTGGCATGGTCTTCGTACTTCTTAGACTTAACAGACTCCGGACGACTGGCTCCGACTTAGCTAATTTGAAAACAAACAACATCCAAAAAAGTACCTTCTACCCAAATCAAAATTTCTTCACATATCTCTCCTTTATCACTGAAGACTGACCAGTGCCTGATTTCAGTCTCTCCTCTGTTCTGCAGTCGTCCATCCCTTTAAGTTTTGCTTTCATTATCAATACTTTATACACACAATTTCTCAAGTGATTTCTCTTCATGCCTTCGTATTTGTTCTAAAATATAACTAAACAATCTAAAATAATGTGAACATGTACATTTCTTTTACTGGATTAGGTCTTTCCCTCAAAGTTTATCCTCATTCTAGACCGCAGTGTTTCAAGTTTTTTGGTTGTTCAGTTTTGGGGGTTTTGGTTTTTTTTTCTAAGATATTTTTGGGTTTGGGTTTTGGTTTGTTTTTTTTGGTTTTGCAGGTTTTTTGGGGGGGAGGGAGTGGTTCTTTTTGTTCAGAGTTTTTTGTGCTGTTTCTAATAAAAAAAAAAAAAGCAATCTCACTTTCCATCACCTTCTTCCTGGTCTCAAGAACTGCTTCTCATTTTCAACTCCTTCAGCTTTTGGGAAGAGAGTTGGTCCTAGTGAAGTTCTTCTGAAACATCAAATATACCTATTAGCAGTTAGGATGATATTTGCTCATGGTGATGCTAAACCTATCAGGATCGCTTAGTCAGCTAAAAACTTCTAATCTTGTAATTCATGTCTGTATCATAAACATATCTCATGATCCAAAATTAAAATCTAAGGTATGTTCATGTCAGAACATAAGACTTCTCAAACAAAATTCTCAAAATACCTTCAGACATATGCTTACAAGGGTGCTTAAGACACCATGTTTGCTCCAATGGTTTCTGATGGAACTGCACTGGATCCAAAACCTATAGTTGAGTGTTAGCTTAATGATCCCCACTTACTCTATATCCCCTAGTTCAAAATTACTGAAAACTCTACAGCAAGCAGGGATCACAGTCCAGTTCTCTTTCATCTACTCATCCTTCTTAAACACAATTATCACAACAGTTGTCAATCATGCTGATTTTACCAAATCTATTTTCAATTGAAATTTTCAGTACTAATTTTATACTCATTGACATACATTTGAATCTGTTATCCAATGGGCAGGGTGGAGAGGGGAAGCAACTTCCATTTGTGAACAACATAGGGTTGGATACACTGGTTTTTTTTCTTTAGCACTTTCCTTTGTAGTGTTACCTTATACTAGCATCCACATCAGGGATGTTACCTCCATTACTTAACAGATATAACATTGCCCCATTTGCCTGGCCTTCCTTGGTATTGGCCTGCTAGAATCAGTATTTCCTGAAAAGATCCATTTTGGTTTGCTTCAAGCCAATTGCATGCTCCCTCCAGCCACTCAGGTCCCCTATTTCCAGAGCCTGCCACCAGACAAGAAAAATGTCAAGAACCCACTTGGATTTTATTCTTTCTCATTTCACTTCTAAGATCCTGAGGTCTTTTCCTTCTCACGGTAGTTCTATCTATACGATTACTTGCACAAACTCAGCAGAGGACTTCCTGTCTTGCAGTTACAGTCTTGCATTTAATACAATGGTTTGTAGAATTACATTTTAATATGCTTCTTAAAAACATGTTCAGATATTTTTATATTCACAGTGATGTTTTTCCTTTCAAGGCTGCTGTGTTACATGACAGCAGCAGCATTTAGTACAGATAATTGTAGCAAAAGTGTTAAGATTGGTATGAGCGGAGAACAGCTGGGTACATAGAGGTGCAGAAGCATGAGAAAGAACAAATGGCATTACAAGGGCTGGTGCAGTGCTGTGTGTTGGTGGAAGTCAGATTAGCAGGTCATGAAGATCCTTGAATGTATGTATGAGCAGTTTCTCAGGACACACAAATTAGGAGATGAAGGACAGAAGCAGCATAGGATGGCGAGACCACATGCTACACAAATTGATTTGGACACGTCTCGGTTGTCTTGGTGCATGCAAGTATGCATGCTTGAGAGTGAGACTTAGTAAGATGATCAAAATTAAGTCACCTTCCCTTTCTCTAAGCTATTCTAATTGTTACAATGATATTTTCCATTCTAGCACATATTACACATTCTTTTTGGTAACCAAATTCTAAAACATTGCATGCAAGTAGGAAGAATATTGAGTACCTGATCTTGTGTTTTTCTCAACACAGATTAAACTATTTCAAGAAAAAAATGCAAAACAAACATTATTACTTAATGTCAGTTACAGCAACCCTAGTTTTACCAAAAACCTGTGGAAACTAAAGCAAGAGATAAGACATGATTTTTAAATTGAGAATCCCTGTAAAGCCACATTACTCCTATTTTCTGTGACTATTTGCTGCATATTTCAGTAATTTCTCTGACCTTCCTGCTTGTCTGATTTGTAGCAAAGCCTCGCCAAGCTAAACATTGTCAAACTACACTTCTACTAAAAGCGACTAAAGCCTTCAAACATGAACAACAAAATTGTTGAAGAAATATTCCTGGATGTGCTTGACATGCAAACACTGCACCACTAACCTGAAAATAAAACACTATTAATTCATTTTCACAGTATAAAATGTCAGATGTAAATAAAAATCTTAATACCTCAGATACTTAAAGCAGAAGAATTTAAACAAGTTAATGGCATTATCAGTGATCCAAAGAAATCTGCATACAGAATTCTTGTTTTTAAACTGTCACTGTCCTTCAGCTATTTAAACCTCAGAGTATTTATTCAATATTTCGATATTTAGTACACCTCCAGTTTGACTTGTCTCACTCTTCTTACATAGGTCTTACCCTCCCACGCTGATATTCCCACCTGGCATGAAGAGATCCACCACACCTTTAAAGCCAAGAGAAGTGCAGAGCTGCTTATGTAATGATTGCTGTGAAATCTTTCCTTAATCCCAGTCATTTTGCATTCCAGACTCCTGAGACTGCTCAGATACTCATTTCATTTGTCTTTCACTTTTTGGTACACTTTATTTCAATCTAATATAAAGTTTAGTTAATTTATATTATATGCCAAAGTGAAAAATTTATGACAGTAATTTTTAGCCCTAAGGAGTAGATGTTATCAATAAGTTAAAATACCTTCAGCTTTGCCTCAGGATGTTCATACGCCTGAAGCATTCTGTCTTCTCATGATAATACAGTATTTGCTTCAGTCACATTTTTTAAAATTACTCTTTAAAAAACTTTCCACTTCAATACATTTTATAAGAAAATATATATTTTCAATAATTTCATGCATATATGAACATTTTAAAGCAACACACAAATTTATACAAGCTACTACTTTTAAGACTGTCATAAGAAATTACAGATAAAAAAGTTTTTGAAAGATATTTTCCAAAATAAGATTTGAGCAAGAGTAGCATTTAAACGTGTCCTGACTTGCAGAAATCATAACAAACTGTAAAGTTTTTAATTCAACAGTGCCAATTGTAACACCAAATGCTGACAAAACCACAGAAGTATAGATGTCCTGGTTTTGGACAAAAGGAAAAATTGTGGGAATTCATGGTTATGTGTCCTGGATGTTGTAATATCCCCAAGGTGGTTGTATCTTAATGACAGCCAGGGCAATAGAACCGCCATTTATTGACAGATTTATCTGCCAAGGAACAGTATCTCTTACCAGGAAGCTACTTTTTTGACAAAAGTTACCTTAACACTTTTGAAAAGCAAGTCTTATTCTAGTAAGATTCCTCTATTACTAGGTACTTTCATAGCAAATGAGTAGCAAATTTTCCTCTCCTGAAGGCCAGAAAATTTGACAAATATGCTGATGAAGAATGTCAAAAGAAAAACTTGTGTTGGGAAATTTTACTAGAAAAGACACTTTTACAGAACAAAGAGTTGTAAAATTATTTCTGCAATAGAAAAAAGAAAATATACAAAACCAGACCTAGTTACATAAGAAAAGTTTTGTTTCAGAAGGGAAAATTATAAGCAGAATTTAGACATGAAAATTATGTAGCTTATAACTTTTCTTCAGAAATTTACAATTGAACTGCATGTCCCATTCCCAGACTGCATGGACCTCTTCCAAGAAATACTTTTTCCTAAAACTGCAGATAACTTCAGAATTGCATCAATGTCTAAAAACATTTCCCCCCTTGTTACAAATAAATATAATCCCTTATAACAAATATAAACTGAACATGTTTATTCACAGATTATTAATAGTCAAATAATGAATATGTATTATTTTAGAAATGCTGAATACACATAAGTGCCACTATTAGTTAAGCATTGAAGCAAAAAAAAAAGTAATTAGCAATAAAGCTATTTTCAACTAACTGGAAGTCAGAAATACCAGAACTATACAGTTTATAATTCTCTAAATTTGGCAATAATTATTTTCGAGACTACAAAAATCTTTAGCAGTACTCTGTTAAAAAAACCAAATTCATGAAAATGAAAAAAGGCTGCCACGAAGATGCACATACGTTTTCAGAAGACAGACTTAATAGCCAAGCATCAGAAAGCAAGCACTTCATGATTTCAGAGTTGAATTCTCAATTAAAGCTTGCATATTTATCCTCTGCATAATGTATCTAATATGAAATCCAAATTTAGAAGAAATGTTTGTACCCCATTCAACAACTAGCTGACGCTTATTTGCGTTTTCTATCAACACAAAAGAGCATAGGTTTCTTGGATTATACTGGAAGGTCAGGAAAAACAGAAGCAACATTCTCATCTTGACAAAGTATTTCTTAAAAATATTTTACTTCCTCAGGTAAGGCACTCAGGCACAAAAGGAAAGAAAATGTCTGCATACTCGATTTAATCTTTTTATTCAGACAAGTTAAGACAACTTTTTCAGATATATTAAACACGTCTGTTTCTTATCAGTCCATTTCTGCTTTCACCTGACATTGCTGATTACCCCTTAGTTGAAGGGGCCATTTTTGCTTAAATGAAATGCATTGATAGAAGCTGTTTAACTAATGCTAATGAGCAAAGAAGCAAGAAATGATATCTTAAAGAAAGCAGAGAACACGGCTGTTATACAGAGAAGAATCCCTGCAAATTTGCTATTTTAATGACCTACAGCAGTCATATTTTCAACTCAACAGAATATGCACATGCAACCCCCCTGTTTTCCAAGAGGACTAATGTTTTAAATCATTTTTATGAAAATATTTGCATTTACATTGGACTCTAGTGATTACTTGGCTCATACCATGCAAGCACGCAATCAGTTTACTACTACAGCTGTTCTAATACAGTCCTACTGATGACTCATCTGTACAAAGAACAATCACAAACGTTTTCCTCTTGAGATGGATTTCTGACAGCTCAGTTTTAGTAGAGCGTTTTAGAAGCCCAGAAGAAAGCAAAACACTGCTACTCCTGGAAGAAGCCTTTCAGTCACAACCAGCTTGGAACACGCAGACCCTACATACTGAAACAGACTTCTGCTGCTGCGTTCAGTATCTATTACTGTTTTAATTGATGTCTTTTTCTACATCATAACAATCCCCCCCTTTATAGTAAATAATTTGTCTTCTAATAAGGTTTCAAATACTCAGTGAAACTACTGTACAGCAGCTCTGCAAACAGAGTTTGTCAAAACACTTCTGTACATTTAACACTGACCTGCTAAATCCAGAAACAGAGATGGCTCCCCTGTTTCCAGTCCAAGATAAATTCAGCCATTGGATGAGAGTGCAGCGGGACTGTAGGTATTCCAGAGATGTGTCATTAATCCTTGCCCAGTAAGGTTGTAAACTGAGATGAATGTACTGTAGAGGATCACAGCAATGTTGATAGAGTAGCTTACAAGTTTGTGCTAGTCTACACAGGTCTGGTACTGTAAGGTGACTCAAAATCAACTGGATGAGCTATATTAAAAACAGAAAAAAAAGTCACAGGTGGTCATATAGCACTTGAGGTGTTAAGGGAAAACTGTAAAGTAATAAGAAAAGACGTTCTAACTTCAAAGAAAAGTAAAACCTTTTAGTTAAAAGTAACTTTTCAAAAAAATCATTGATTAACTATTAAATAGGACTGCACTGCCTTTTCAATTTGACAACATACTAAACAAGAAAGGAAAAAGCAAATCAGCATATGAAAGTGACAGGAAGCTTTCAAATTAAAAGTTTTTTTACCCATGCTAATTTAAACAGTGATATATATGTAAACACTATGTTTACATATTTCCTTTCACAGTATCTGCCCTGCCCTTGATCAGAACACAGAACTGGCATCCTCTTTCTTCTCTGGATTTGGTTTTTCAGATGGGAGCATATTTGCAAAGTATATGGAAAAACCATACCATGTCCCAGTTTCCCCACACTTTGAACTGATTTCAGATTTATTCCTCTTCTCCCTGATTTAAAAAATCAGTGTTTTGTCTTCTATTTTATATCCTCTCTGAATTACGCAACCAGGTAAAAAATTTAACATATTCATATCTTCTTTTACAACATAATCTCTTCCTTGCTGTAATACACTGAGAGCATTTTTCTTCTACGCTAGAGTCAAATCTGAAAGGCAAAACCCCATTTTTATCTGTATCAGTTGAATCATCTGAGTTTCAGAATAATCACCAGCCCTTCTGACTAGCATCACTATAAATGTTTTTGTAATGACTTATCTCACACTCAGAAACTAAGAAATATCCCTCCTCTCTTATCACACTCTGTTTTCCTTTCTAAAGAAAAATCAACACACAGAGAGACATAAATACTCACTTCAGGAAATAACAACACCCACCCCCCCACAAAAAAAAAAATCTCCTTTAACTTAGGAAATGAGAGAAAATGGACTTGAAAAATGAAATCTAAAAATTAATGTCTACTTTATCAGGGCTGTCTCTAACAGATATAAGTACCTGCACTCAAGTTATATAAGTAAAATTGACTGTTTTCAAGCAGAGTGGGAAACAATAACTTGTTGAAATGAATCAGTGTAAATTAAAAAAACAAAACCACCCGCAAATCAACTTAAACTGCAGAAAATCCTTTAGTCCTTTCAAAATACCAACATGTTTCATTTTAACGTTTTAGAAGGATTCATAAAACAAATCCGCCAAAAATCAGAATAAAATGCTTGACATAAAACAAAAATGGAGCTTTTCGTGAGATCCAAACAGATTGTACTTCCAGTGTACTAGTTTATGATGCAGCTACCTTCCACCTCCCCTCCTCCCTGCTTCATTTTTGGAAGAGAAGAAATAAGAAAACAATTCAACTTCCTGCAAAATGGAAAATGTTACTTCCTACTCAGCTCCAGATTTAGCATTTGGATTTCAAACATGATCTACGACTCTTAAAAAATTTAACTTCAACTCCAATGCCAAAATAAAGTGTTTGATATACTTCAGTTTCTCTCACGCTCGATTTCCAGCCTCCCCTCTTCCCTTCTCCTTGCTCTTCCTTTCCCCTAAAAACAGCCTAGGTTTTTTGTTTCTGCAGGTATCTGGAACTAAGACTCAAATTGATGCAGAGGACCTGCAGAGCCATTTCAATGTAACAGTAATATATAAATGCACTGCAGTTAATATATGATAATCAACAAAGTTTGCACCCAACTGACATTTAGGTTGTTGACATTTTGGAATCTGAGAAAGACCAAAATAACTAGGAGCTAACATAGATATAATCCCAAGTTAGTATCTTGATTTTTCCTTGGCTCAGTCCCATACTTAAGCTTTAAAGCTGCTTAACACAGTTTTGTTCATCATTCTGAACAGCAGATACTTAAACATATACCTATTTTTCTAAGATCATCAATTCACTTAAAATAATTTTCAATATTCTGAAAGACAGCTTCAAACTATTTTGCAACCTTTCAGCCATTCCACACTCTGTAAGCCACCTAAATATCTATTTTATTACTGCCTTTTCCCTCAGACTTTTCTCCTGTGTTACATACTAAGATTTCTAGAGCTGAAAGCTCAGCAAAGGCTGCACAGTTAGCTGAATTTATGTCTACAATTAATGTGACATAATAATGTCTGACAAAGGCAAAGTAACACAAATTTTTTTCAATGAGAAAAAAGTCATTTTGTAAGTTCCGAGCAGTACAGATAATGGTGAATGAAACTATAAATGCCTCAACAATGTCCCTTTACACTAACTAACGACTTCAATGAGTATTTCATAATATATAGGATTGTTGCAATCTTTCCACATGTGAGATGAGAACTCTCACCACACAAAAAGGTCTCAATCAGAAAAAAAAAAATCTGTCTTTATTTTTTACTGAAATTTTGCTACTTCATAACATCTAGAATGAAAACATACAATGAAATATCACTACTATGACACTACATTATAAAGAGCTCTTTTTCTGGCTCTTGATTAAAAAAGGGTAACAAGTTCCAAATGTGCAGGCTAATAACCATTAATCACCATTAGCCTGGAGTCTGGTGTCTGTCAGAAATCTGATTTTTATGTATGTGTATCCTAGCATAACATACAATTTGATACCATGAGTATGTGACATGATAGGCTGTACTGTACTAGGCTGTGTTTATGGCAATTCCAAGAATGCTACAGAACTGACTATCTGCTTTGAAAACTAATTTCATAATGCAGTTTCTTACAAAGAGTTTTTACTCTGCCTTTATGAAAAAATATGACAATCATTATCATTTCACAATTTCTTATCAAATCAATCAATAAAAACAAAGTTTATTGGAAAAACAACAAAAGGAAGTATAAAAAGGAACACAAAACATAATTTATACAACACTGATTGCCTTTTCAGGCTATGATGGACTTAAAGTACAAAAGTACTTTCTCTCCCATTTCCAGGGCAAACATGGCACAGGCCAGCTTTAAACATCTGGTGAGATCAATGGCCACTACAGTGAGAACCTCCAAGAACTGGAGGTTTCCAAATCATAATTATCCACAACAATTCAACAAACAGCAGTAAACAAAATCATTGTGTGCTAAGCACAGAAAGGATCCTGATTCATACCCAACCCATGTGTGTTTTATCATCGCCATAGTCCCTGATTGCAGCATCTCACATATATGCATATTTTTTGAATGATCAGTTAAAAATATAACATGGGAAAAAAAATGACATCTTACCTATTGCAAAGCTGCTTAAAAGCTAAGAGAGGATCTCCACTCTTCAGTACACAGAGTAAAATTTTACTGATGGTGTAGTTCCTAATAACACTTACTGAACCAAAAGCTTCTCTAGCATTTTAAAGCTTTTTTGCTGAATAAAAGCAACAACCATTTGTACCTAATAAAATACTTTCTGTGGCTAGAGCACAATAATGCAGAACTTGACTTGGTCAGAAAAGAATGCCTGGATGATGGTCAGATGTACAATATCTGCACTTTCTACAAATTTCCTTTTTCAGTTCTCCAACGTGAAGATGAAATGATTTTACAATACAAAAATACACAGATTTATGCACACCACTCATTCAGAAGCACGCAAATGAATGACTTGCAATTTTTTCATTCTGCAGCCAGAGCTGCTACAACAGCTTGGACACCAATCAGAATTGATACTAAAACATGCTCAGATAAAGGACAAAGGATATGTGCACAAAGAGGAAAAGGCAGGAAGGAGAAGATGGTATTCTAGAGCTTTTGCACTTTCTCAACATAGTTTAAGAAAACCCAACCCTGGTTCCACAATCGTATGGCTTGCATCAGCAAATGCATGCACATTCAATACTGCACGTGAACACCTGAAAAGTGGATCTTGCAACTGTTTCACAAAACACAACCATTTAAGTCTCTTTTTTCTTTATTCTACTCACATAACATGCTTTGGTGGAGTCGATTTTACATCACCAGGCCACAGGCTCTGATCCTTTCAGCAGTGGAAGGCTGTAAAAGTTTTAAGATCCTTCTTGATCCAAAGAACAGAAATGGATTTTACTGGCAGATTGCACAATCAAAAAACTGCAACTCCAGGAAGACTAAAGTTGGAGGGATCTTCTCCATGTGCCACTAGTCAGTCTAATCTGCTACAGCAACTGGCAGTATATTGGCTATCAGCTGAAAGGAATCTTGTGACATATGGTCATCAGCTGTTAGGACAACTTATAAGAACCTCATGAATTTCCCTTTGCAAAGAAAGGCATAAAATCTTGGAAGTCTACAACAGTTTGTTCCGGAAAGATGCAAGAAGTTTATTGTTGAGGGAAAAAAGTGTATTGCACTTAAAAATGCTCTTGCTTATTGCTCTGATTCGTCTACCTAAGTACCATTTAAGGGATGCAGATCTTACTTTTGGGACCCATTTCGCAGAACAGAGGTGCCAAGTCCTCATTTAACAGTGAAATTCACTTCCCCAGCAGACACAAACAGCTCATAAATCTTACAGGCAGCTGTTGGAAAAATTAGCTTCAAGGAATGACTAAGATGTCATTTGTATCTTTTTATATCAACATTTATATAAAAAATATATTTTGGACTTCAGCATGCAGGATTTCTCCTGACTCTCCTCTGGAGAACAAAAGGTGGGGGTTTGGTACTTGGCACATCTTGGTGAGTCCCAAACTGCACAAGATGTATGCTGTGGCAGGTATTCTTCACCTTTCCCAAAGGCTTTGAATTTGTTCAGGCCTTCAGGTCTCAAGCATTTCTGCAAAGCCAACTAAGACTAAGGCCATACTCCTTCCACTTTACATGCTGCACAAGTTAGTCAAAGAACTGAGAAGAAAGACAAGGACATGAAGTGTCTCCTATAAAATTCTTTCTCAATTTTAAGGTAGTTCTGGAGAGGAGATGATAGATAGTACAAGTACTTCACAGCTATTTAGGGCTGGTTAACACCATTCATGATCAGGGAAGAAAAATTCTCTCACCTAGGTCATCCAAGAGTTCACACTTTTTTCTACAGAAGTCAGTGCCTATGAGTCAAGCATTTTTCTCAGCTTTTTGGCAGGAACAGTCCATAATGTTTCTCTAGAATTCTTACAATGATTTTTGAGCTCACAGTGCATCAAGCCATTCCTAATGCCATTTTGAGGAACATCACAGTCTATGAAAGGATAGTCTATGGAAGTTTCAGAAAGACAACAAAGGCAAAACAAAGACTGGAGGAACTGCTGCCTACTTAGCACAACCCACTCAGCCTGTGTGTTTTGTGAATTACAGAGAGTAGTATGAAAAAGCCTCAAAACAACTCAAATAAAGAATAGGCATATGTATGAAGACTTAGGACAGCTACACATTGACAATCAATATGCCCTTACAAAGAGATACAATTTTTCATATACTGTATAAATGAAAACTGGAAGGAGACAGCAGTTGCCTTACTTCATTCTTACACAGTTCGAACAGTTCCCAGAAAACTCTGACACTTGTCAGTCTTGAAGACACCATGCAGAGCATTGTTCCCATATCCAATATGATAAAAAACTGTCACACTACAAAGTACAACATTTTTGGTTTTCTGATGCCCAAACCTTCCAGCTGGACTAGAAAGAGGTAGACTGGGATTACTGCTGTCACAAAACCAATCCAGAAACAGTCTTTTCTAGTTTTCTGACAAATATTCCACCCATATTTTCAGTTTCTTTAAATCAAGGCAGAAGAAAAAAAAATGTTCTTGATATTGATAGACCATATAAACTTATTCATGAACCAAACATGTTAAAAATGGATAAAAAAAGGAAGCTGGTAGACAAACAGGAAAGCAGAAAAATACAAAAAAGTACATGAAGACAGAAGTTCATAAGAGTAACAAGACTACACAAACATTTCCTAAATTAAAATTTTAATATGTACAATCAACCATTTATAGTTGGATTTGACGATCTTAGAAGTCTTTTTCAAGCTTAATGATTCTGTGATCACATGAAACAGTAAAGAGATTGATTCATCTCTCTGGTATTCTACTATACTACAAATCAATTTATCCAGCCGTTTCAAACAAGAAAAAATCCTATATTTAAATGAAGTTTTATCTACAATTAATTTCTTTGAATTACTAAAACCAACATATTTGCAAACAGTTATGCAAAGTACTTTTTTTACTTCAGTACTGATATTCAAGCACCAACAGTAAAATATATTAAATAATACACTGGCTCTAGGGAAAAAAATCAAAACCAAACCACCACTAGAGCTAACTCAGGATGAAGTTAGTATCCTCATTTATTATTCCACTGCAGCAACAACAAAAAAGACCCAAACAAAACTCAAGTTTGGTTTCAAGAGAAGAAAGATAAGAGTTGTTACATTCTCTTCCCTTCTCTTTCCTCTTTACAAGCACAGTAAACTTCTGTAGGTTACTAGGACACGTGGTCACTCAACCATGGTCTTCATGTCTCAAACTGGGGTACTTAGAGACAAAAGATGTCATAAAACCAAAACAGTATTTGATTTGAACAGATATTTCTGTAAGTGCCCTTCAATCATCAGAGCCATCTCAGCACACTCCCTTCACTTTCAAAAGCAAGTCTAGTTCGAGTGAGGAGCACGCTGAGCACTGGATGAGCTACCACAGTAAATAAACACTTGCTGCTTTTGGCACACTGCAGCACACTGAAGAGCAGGAACAAACTTGTCTCTGCCCAAGCCCAGAGAGAGGTTTGACTGGCAAGTAGAGGCTCCTTTCCACCATGCACAAACAGTTTATTTCAGGAGAGGTGAAGATAATTGTTTTGTCTCTCAATTCTTACACTAACCAGGGTACCAGCCTCCATAAACAGCTACATCCCACTGAGAATGGCCTGGCCTGCACACAGTATTCAGTAATCATACTCCACAATCTCATTATACTGGAAATTACAGGAAAGAAAATATTTATCTACTGACTCTGAGCACAATCACAACTGCCATGCTTCCAGGGGATCTGAAAGGAGTTTATTCATAACTGTTTTCTGTGCTAATGATAGAACAAAAAGTAGCAAGCATTGAAACAAGACAGTGTACAGAAGTCCATCTATAAGACATTTTACCTGCACCACAATTCAAAACTTAGCTGGCTGGAAGAATCTTATTTCATAAAACGAAAACATAATGGCAGTCCCTAGAACAAAGTTCTGTAAGTTTTGTACAAGAAAGAACAGGAAAACAAACTTTTAGCCTCTTAAAAACTATTTCCACTTTCAGATGTTGATTCAACCTTTTCGTATCTCTTTCGTATATTTTGTTTGTCAAGCACGAGGACTAAAAACTATTGGAAAACTGCTAGAAGCTTCCAAGTTCAAGAGCTGGAAATTCAAGGCAAGAATAACTGCTGCAGTAACTATGCAAATACCTAACATCCATCCATGGAAGTAGATAGACTTACATAATTCAGGCATACCTATACAATAACTGCAGGAAATTCACAAGGAATTCACAGGGATTCGCAAGGAACTGTAACCAATCTCGACCAGTACCCTGTAAAGGACCTTTGCACCCTTAATGATCAAGACAATGATTGAGTATAAACATTCTTTTCTTACCTCATAAGGCAGTTTATCAAAATATCCGTTAGTCGGCCATTCCCTGAGGGTAACGATGCTGAACTGTTTATTAAGGGTGTCCATTCCACAGCCATACTTTTCTTCATCCTCATCTTCATCTATATCATTCATATCAATCATTGAAGTCTTTAGTGAAAGCACAGGTCTCTCTTTCACACCATGTAGCACTACTGCATCCAATTCAGTGTAATAGTCCAGAAGAGAGCTGTTCACTTCCAGTCGGATTAAGTTTGTAGGAAAGTTTATCTGTTTGATACAAGGTGTGAACTGCCGAGCCTGAGGACCATTCACCTTTGTAGGTGCCTCAGACCAAAGTATTTCCCATCTGTGAAAAAAAAAATTACACATACAGTATAGGGATTAAAATCAAAGTTACTAAAGCAATTCCTGAACACAGTAAGAGGGCAGCTTCTTCTGTCAGAAGTATTTAACAAGTGAGAAAGACGGTTAAAAAGACAACAAAATTTATGTTTTCCCTAGATTTTATAAATATCCTAAGGATGAATTTAACAGGGCACACTAACTCATGACCTTAGCATGTTTTTTCTGCATTGTTAAATAACAAAACAAGCTGTAGACTCATGGTCACACACTTGTTACCGTTACTGGTGCACAAGTTTTTCTAACATCTCACAGGTAAGATAATCATAACAAATGGATTACAGATGTCTTCACAATGATGGCATGTTAGTCTAAGTATACAAGCAACAGTCTTGCCATGTAACCCCAACATACAGTCATCTGACCTCTCTTATTTTCCACAAAACAAAACAAAAAAACCCCAAACCCCACAGCTCGCTCTTTAACATCATGCCTGTCTAAATTACAGTATTGCAAGTTACTAAAAAAATAATCTAAACTTTACTTTGTTTACCTGTCTAGACAAGCAAAATATTCCTTTTAAAAGTAGTTCACTGTCAAATTAGCAAAGAAAGTAGAATCTTCAAGTCCTTTTTTAAAGGGTTCTTTACAAAAAACGCTAGAATTTCCAAACTGAAAAACTGAGAAGTTTTTCTCCTCTTTGGTCCAGTGACAGGAGGTTCAGGGCATGCATAAAATTACTGTACATACATCTTTACTTGCACACACAGACCTCAGATTTCCTCCTGTAAGTGACAGAGAAACCTGTCTCCAACTCAGTAATCTGGAAGAATCAAGTCTTACATTCCTTAGGTCTTCAGCTCTTCCAAACTTGCCAAAAGGCCTGAAAACAGAAACGTGCTCTTTATATCTGCATGAGTCCTCATCCAGTGAATGGAAATCCTTCAGTCACTGGTACCCATGTTTTTCCTCCCTCAAGTCTAGTTAATTCCTAAAGAAGGAAGCCTCTAGCAGTCACTGCTGCTACTCTCTCTGACAGTATGCTTACCTCGATACCCATCTACACACTTCCACATCTTACTCCATATTCCATCTCTTTTTGATCACCCTAGTCCCAGCTTCAAAAATTTCTCTCAGACTACTTGTCCTGGCACATGCATCTCAGAAGTACTCTATCTGCTCCCCAGTATCTCAGCATCTTGGCTTTTCTTACCAGATTCCATGCAGGGGCAAGGTGGGGGAGTGGAGAGGAATATCAATTAAAAAAATAAAATAAAATCAAACATGCTTTATTTGCAGAACAAATTGCTTAAACTTTTTCCATCATGACAGAAAGCAAAGTGGACTTTCATTAAAACATTGCACATGATATAAGGTGCAGAAGTTTGATATTTGTTACTAGGAAAATTAATTAGGAAAAAAATAGGGAAATTAATCCATATTGGTTGAAACTTCCATTTCACAACTGACATTTTCAGGTATGCACAGATAAATTTTCCTAACCTATATCAAGTTGCTCTCTAAGCACCTTACAGTACAATGAGAGGCTTCCAGAAGTCTTATGTCAAAAAAATAGTCATGAACTAAAAACAAACATGCAAGACATGAACACGTGGCACATCAGAAAGTACTTATGCAGGAGAGTGGACAATTCTACCCTAAAATTAACAGTTTTCATAAGACAGACTTAGTCACGAGAAAAGCTTTCATTAATTTATGAAATTAATGCCAACTCATGGTAAAATAACAGACGTCCCACTGTCACACCCTCTCACATAGGTCAATTCTCTAAGCAAATACTTAATGTCAGCAATGCACATGTGATGTTTCTTGAACACATCCAGATCACCATCTGAAATTTTGCTTAGACACTTCCAGGTACCTACTCAAGCCATCCTTAGGGAAACTCAAGGCTATTTTTTCACTAATTTAGCAAATGCTGGACCATCAGCTTCTAACAGAATGGGTCTCAGTTACTGAATTTCCCTTTGGTACCCTGAAGAGAGGACTATCTAGCAGTAGTGGAGCTCTGGAAAAAAAATAATGCATCTGGAGATCTAGGTTCACCAAACTGGAGTTCAATAACCAACTTCAGCAAGCAGTATCTGTTTTCCAGTCTTTGTAATAAACTAGAGAAAATGAAAGACATGTAGGATGACTTTACAGTCTTGTGAAATTCCACATTACATACCAAATGCTGATGAACAACAAAACCAGTGACAATTTTCCACTGTCCTTGTCATATTCTTCTTTTCATCAACAGCCCACCAATCTAACTTTAAAGGAGTTAGCTCTTGGTTTATCTGGAAAACCTCAAGTCAATCAGGTTGATTTGATGTTCTTCTCTGCCTTGGTGGCACTGCACACAAGAACAAGCAACAGCAATCACTCTGAGTCAGGGCTGGTAGATTCTTCCCAAGTGTAGGTATACTCAACACACCCACTACTGCAACTGGAAGTGATCTCTTCATCTAGAATCACCAGCGTGATACTTAATGGGCTGCACACAATCTGAATGGGATTGAAGAACTCACAGTGGGATCAAAAAAGTCTAAATTTCCAAGAGGCTTCAGTAAGAATCACATGTCTTCTGTTCTGGAGCATTCTTTTTTTATGGTTACCCATTTAAAAATCTTTCATAAGAAAGGCATTTTTACAGTCAATCCTGGTTTGAGGGTACATACCAAAATCAGCTTCTCTAATAAGGTTGCCTGCATTTGTTCCAAACTTAAGGTGCTCAATGAACTATTTAACTCAAACCAAAGAGAAATTGAACCTCAATAAATAATGTTAAAGAAGACAAAGGAATCTAGCCCTTTCCCTGTACCAAATTAATTAGGTAGCTCTCAAAAAATCAAGCAGCATCAAATGATTGCAGGTAGCACATCGTCTGTCATCACCTCTTGCAGATATACAGTAACAACTGATCAAAGATGTTGCAATGAGTGTGCTTTGATAAGAAGGTTTCACCTGTAGAGCTCTGCCTCTTCCACTGGCTGAAGTCTGGTGACAACTCATCGTTGTCACCAAACTGTAAGCATGCAGAATGTGCACCACAGTATAAAATCAAGGCCACATTAGTGGTAATCATAACACAACACAATCAAAAATAGGGATTGATTTCTTCCCCACATAAAAACTGAGATTTTATATTACAATATTCCCTCAATCTCACACTACTATTTTTTTCTTAGGCTTTCTGCACTCTGATAATTCATGTAACAAATTTGTACATGGAATGTTAGTATAGTTTAAGGAATTACCAAACACTTCTCACCAATCAAGGTGTGAGTGGTACAAAAGAAAAGTGCAAAAGGTCTCCATGTGTTAAAACAGCAGTTTCTCTGACATTTATGAATTTTAAAAATTGGTTTATGTGAAGGAGAGTGATGTAGTGCCTTCTGTCTCTAAAGCAGCCAAAAATATGAGAGGACAGAAAATTCTCAGCTGGATGCTGGTTAAACCATAATGAAAAAACTTCAAATTACCTGTCATGTTTTAAGTATTAGGATCATTTAGAAACAATTACATGCCCTCTGAAAAATACATGCTTATTCCCATCCATGAAGGTCTGACTCCATCTCTATAAACACTCTGAATAAAGTTCACCTGAGCCAGCATCATACAGAGCTGTGATAGCAGTATTCAGTGCACCAGCAACAAAGAAACACAACCAAAGACCTCTTTCTGAACACCTGCATGAGTCATTCTTCCTTGCAACTGAAGCATAAAGTGAACACATGGGCCAACCATGTGGGTGTTAGCCATTTTTCAACAAGAATATATAAAATCCTCTTGAGCAAGTATTCCGGTACACCAGCTCCTTACAGAGCCTCTTGTAGGCTGCAAGCTTTTGCACACAGAAAAGTCTTGGATGAGCTGATGTTTTAAATATTAAACAAAGAGAAAAAAGATTACTAAACTGGACTAGTATAATCCACTAAACATTTAAGCAAATCTCAAATGTTTTCCTCTCAACATAGAGTCCACCATTAATTTGGCCTTCTTTTTATATCAAAGCAGGAACTGGTGAAAAAGAACCTTCCTAATGACCTGCTGTAGTGGGTTTCTGTGGCGGGGTTTTGGTAGCGAGGGCGCTACAGGAGTGGCTTCTGTTAGAAGCTGCTAGAAACTTCCCCTGTCCCGTGGAGCCAATGCCCGCTGGCACCAGAACGGGCTTCCTGCAGCGCCACTCAGGAGTAACACCTCTGTGATAACATATTTAAGAACTGAAGGTTGCTGTGCAGAGGAAAATTCCAGCCAGGGAAGAGCAGAGTGAGAATATGGGAACAACAATGCAGATACCAAGGTCAGTGCAGAAGGAGGGATGGGGGGTGCACCAGATGCCAGAGCTGAGGCCGCTGCAGCTCGTGGTGCAGCCCATGGTGGACTGTAACCCCCATTCCCCATCCTCTGGCACCACTGGGGGGGAGGAGGGAAGACATGGAAGGAAGGAGGGGTGGGGGGGAAGGTGTTTTTCAGATTATTTTACTTCTCACTCTTTTGCTCTGATCCTGTTAGTAATAAATTTAAGTAATATCCCCACTTTTAATCTGTTTTGCCTGTGAAGATAATCAGTAAGTGACCTCTCCCAGCTCTTAACTCATGAATCCTTAGCTGTTTTTTTTTCTCTCCACTGTCCAGTTGCAGAGGAGAGTGACAGAGTGGCTTTAGTGGGTACCTGGCATCTGGCCAGGGTCAACCCACTACACCTGCCCTTTCTACACCGGTGTTCAGAAACACACCCGTAGTCAGCTGATAAAACAAAGCAGCACTGGAAGGTTTTTTGGTAATAAGGCGATTTAAAAATGAGTATCAAAAGAGTCAGAAGAGGAAAACAAGGTTCTAAGTGCCTTTTGAGTAAGTAGGACATGGCCTTTTTTAACAGAAGAAAATAGTATGCCAGTTCTTCAAGACCAAAACATCAGTTAAACAAGGAATCATCTGAGATTACGGCAGCATTCCATCTTCAAAAAAAATAATTCTTAGCTGACATCTCAGAGAACTTTTGGAAGTGAGAACAAGGGACCAAGAACTGAAGCAGAAAACAGACCGCGCCCTTGCAACTTCTCAGATTCCCCTCATAAAGGTGAGCAAATGAACAGAGAAAAAATATTGCATACCTCATGTGGAGAAAAGGTCCCTTCATCTTCCCTTCAAGACACTATGTATAAGACATGTTTGTCTCCTTTAGAAGAAAGGAGACAAACCAAATGTGCAGCCCTGAACAGACAAGTCCTGCTGAGGGAAGGTAAGCCAAAAGAAAAAAAAGAAGTCCCTCTAACACTTCTCTCGCATCAAGACTAACAAGTACTGAAGAGGCAGCACAGAGAACTGGTTCCAAGGATCCCTGAGACAACCTTTTTCTAACCAGAAATGTTGTTAAACTATGCAGGCAGGACAGAAGGTATTCTTGCCTACAAATTAAAAAGCAGGGTCCTACAGAAGCTTCATCTTTTATCATGAAGAAGGGAGTCTGAGTTCTCACTGATCACACCTCAAGAGGAGTCATAAAGCGCATATCCAAAAGTTTTATATTAGTATTTTCACTTCCATCTCCTTTTATCTCTCTGAACAATTTTCTCTTTTTTTTTTTTTAATGCACCTCACTAAGTAGCTCCTTCAGTTAACATTTCTTGAGCTTTCCTCCAACACTTCTCGGTCTTTACCGAGGTGTACTATTTTAAGAACCTAAACCTAAACAGACATAAAATAGCATTAGCTTATCAATCAGAACTATATCCTTGTGGTGCCCTGAAGCACCCTATGTTACAATTACCCTAATGCAATATTATCAAGTTACGGAAATAATCTCTACATAAGTTCTGTGCTACATCATAAAGAAGTAAAAAATCTACATCATAAAATAAAAAAGTAAAAAGAATGTTCACAGAGTAATTGCCCAAAAGTTATTTCACACTAGGTTCTAAACTTGAAAGTCTTAAAAGCTGCCTTCATCACATATCATTCTATAAATAAGTTCTGTGTTACAGTGCCAAACACACTCATTCTTCTGAAGTTAGGTGGCCTATTATTACTAGTTTCACTCATCACTGTTCCTTGAATTCATGTTTTTGAGCTGTACAGAATATTCTCACTAGAAACTTGTAAAACAAACAACTGCTCTTAAGAACAGTATATGACAGAATCATACAAAAGATACTAATTGGGAATTTTGAATACATAACACTCAATTTCCCAAGAATTTTCGAATGAACATCAATGGCCTAGTATTAGGAAGCAAGGGATACTAAGTTAGACCTATAAGTATGCTTTTTAGCTGCATCTGTAAAAGGCAAGGCAGGAAAAAACACCCGACATCCAAGCTAATACTGGTTATGCCACCAAAGTGTGCATTTCAACATAATAGAGTATTTGCTGGCATACTATTTTCTACAGCATACATTTTCTTCTATCAGCTCTCCCTTTCTTTATAGCTTTGGTATCATTTAATCTCTTCTGATATGGAGTACTTTGATTGCATATACTGATAGCTTTTCCCAATGCTTTTGCCCACTATGTACTTTGACCTGTTCTCTTTCTCCTTCCATTTCTATTTCCTCACCTCCTCACTAAGAGCTTCACACCTCATACAAAGTGTTTTATTTTACTATATTACCACTCCCCAGGTCACCATCTTCCTGACCCCCCAACTGAAATTTCATCAGGACTCTACTATGAGGAAAACCAACAGGATCAAATCAGCTTCTTTTAGCCTATGCAGTGAGTGTAAAAACAAAGTGCAGCTCACACCCTTTGATCAGAACAAAAATAAAGATCTGACAAATGGCATCACCTTTTGTCTGACTGTTCTGTGCTTCTGGTTTTAGTCTCATTTCCATATGAATAGTTACAGTGCCTGATTATACTATACACGCAACCTAAAGCATGCAGAGAAGAAAGTTTATGGCTACTTGAAGCAGGGTGATACAGCAACAGTGAATCCTCAGCTTCTTTCACACAATTTGCTTTTCTTATTGGAGGAAGAACTCAGACCTGCCATTTCAAAAGTCGTTTCTGTACAGGCATAATAATTATTCCTCATAAAAATTCCAACACAAAAACTATCATTACACAAATTAAATTTGATATTAGGAGCTGCAATAATTCCTACAAAACATCCACATCTCTGAAGTTGTTATCAAAACATGTCACCACAGTTTTAAAAACACGCAGAAATAAAGTAAATTATTTTAGTTAGTGGGTCGGATGCAAAACAGATAAATACTAGGAAGTAAACTTCATTAAACAGCACTGTGTGTAGCATTTAACATCCTACAGGAAAGCATAAGGAAGGAAAGAAAAAAATTACCTTACTTCAGCTGGTGGATTTTGAGAGTAAGGATTTGCAGAGCATGCTAAAATCCTGACTACAGCTCCAGGATGATAGGTTTCCAGAATGTGCACTGCAGTGGGATAAACTGGTTCTTCAAAAGCAAGTTCCACATAGTCTTGGCTACAGAAGGTGGATGGTGTCCTCTTGAACGGCAGCCGAGCGCTGGGGCAACGATCCCACCAGGTCCCGTAAGTTCGAAAGACAGCAGTCTGAGTAAAGTCACCAGAACTAGGGTACACATTTGGAATACCTGCTAAATTCCACATGGTATATGACATGCTGTTTTCACTGCCATAGTGAGAGCTGAAATCCAACACTTCTTTGGCATACTGAACTATTTCAACATTGATAGGTAAGGCTCGGGTGTTTGATTCAATCGCCCTCCGACTGTTCATTTCTCCTCTCGTCGCTGTCCTAGCTCGGCGCCGAAGGCACATATAGTAAAACATGCTCAGAACTGTTAACATGGGAAACACTGGTGACATCTAGATTTGACTTAGGAAGAATCAAAAAGTCAGGAGTCCTTTATAAGGTGCATTAACTGCTTGTGGTGTTTTGGAAAAGAGCTGATAAAACAGAATGAATAAACATAGTGAGCAGACACAACATTCTTAGAAAGCAAATTGTGCTCTTTCTAATATCCTCTTAAACAAAGTACTGCTACTAAAATACTAACAAACTATTAGATTTTATTTTAAGATAATTGTTTAGTTGGAGGTTACTAAGTGTGGCTTCCCACTTACTGTGTTTAAAAGAAGAGAATAGTGTGAAGAAACATTAGCCAAAACCTGCCCTCAAGCAAGAAAAAAACTAATGGTTAAATTAAGCATTATTTCCAGGGATTTATAAGAAAAAAAAAACTTGCACTGACTTAGGGAAATGAAATCAAGTATGAAATTAAATGTGGCTCTTGCCATAAACAATTGTAAAAGAGTATCCCAAGACAGAGCTTCACATTGTGAAGATACAGCTTCTTAAAACCATTGTGAAAAGCATTTTCTTAAAAGCATTGTGAATGGTTTTCAGAGTCAAAAAAGCAAGCTTTGGGCCGTTAATCTAAACCAAAAACTTAACGTGCTGCTTCCTCTATCAAAGTACTAATCTGAGAAAGACTCACAAAAATACCATCTTTACCATTTGAAGTTGTCCATGACAGCATACATCAATGATAGAAGGGTCACCAGTCTCCTGAAGGATGCTCAGAATTCATTAACAATATCATCTGCCTTTAAGCCATGCAACAAAGTAAGTCTTCAAAAGAGTCTTGGCATCAGAAGTTCTCATAGAAAGCATTTTACTTCTGAAGAGAGAAAATTTTTTCACTTAAGTAATAATTCCACTAAACATAAAATGTACTAGATCTGCATACTGTTAAGCTAGTTAAAAAAATCAACACAAAACATACTATTAATTAAGTATACTAGTGTGTTTTACACAGCCTACACCAACACAAGTAAAACTATCAAATAAATACGTTTAACAATGAAAAAAAGCTAAATTCAAGGTAAGTCACTCAAGTTTTCTATTTACCACAGTGAAGAAACATTTATAGCTGAATGTTGGCTACGGGACACAGAAGGGCTGTATCATATTCCCTACTAATAAAGGTCCTCTTACATATGCTGGTCCCATATTTAGCAGCTGCTCCATACCTGCATGATGTAAACTGTGAGGTTTACCAACACACAACAAAATGTGGAACGTATTCTCCAGTTTCCACTGACAGTACACAACACACTTGGGCTATGAATTCACATCCTCCAGTAACACAAACCATTTCTCACAAACTGGCCTTCTGATTATGATTACCTTGTTCATCAGCTTTAATAGGAGAGAATAAGGAGTAATGCCTGCAACCTGTTAAGAGGCCAAAACAGGGATGACTAAGCATGTCTCAAAATAGATTAAATGTTTCTTCAACAGCCTGTACTGGAGTTGCCAGTTAGTTTATCAGAGGATTACATGCTGTGGTAATCTCTGAACCAACAGACGCGACTCTTCTATTGCAGAAGACAGCTCAAACAACAACTAACATGATGCCTCACACTGCCAGGCAGACAAACCACATATTCAGTGTTTGCCATGGGTACAAGCAAGACCACACTTCAGAGTTTTTGGAAGCATAAGCTTAAAGTAGGGTAGATAATTAAACAAACGGAGACTTTTGTAGGCCTCTACACAAATCCACCATTTGTGTTTCTCGGGTCAGTTGCTTGTTTCCCATACTTAAACACACACACACACGTACAAACAGCTCTCTTTGAATGTTTCCAACAAGGTGGCGCTGTAACAGATAAGGACAGGCTGCACTATTTGCCCCTCTTACCTATCACAGAAAGAAAATTTACTAAAGAAGTGTTCACTTCTCACTTTCTTGACTCTTCTATTATTTGCCTTTTGTTTAGTTCCTGTCCTTCCTTTTCACATGTTGACATAGCTGTCAACAACATGAACTACTTCTGAAATTCAGTGAAGAAGGGAGCATAAGACAATGTGCTGGATCTACTTCAAGCTCCCCTGGAATGCCAACAACCAGTAATGTCTGTTTCCCCCAGAGAACCTGAACCACCTTTTAGAAAAGGCACTGGGAAAAAAGCAGCACAATCCCGAATCTCTCCTCCTTAAAAACAAAACAAAACAAAACAAAAAAAACCCCAAAGTAAACAACTTGAAACTGAAAACTGCTATTTTTTCAAAGCAGAGATGCTTTGATGTAAGCAAAGATAACACATACATTCTCCTTCTAGATTTTTCCTTCTTAAAAAATCTATATACAAAATATGCCAAAAGACATTAAACTTCAACAAATGTACTGCTATCAAGCCCTGGAATCATGGGTAAATCAGCATATACACTACACTCTAACTCAAAATTTCACCGATTAACATGATTTGAAGGTTGCTCCATGGAAATTATGGCTTTCCAGATCTCAATTTCAAGAATCATTCAGCTGGGGTACTTCAAGATCAGGTGGGAATCACTTTATCTCACATACACAACCTACACAACTTCGTGTCTGCACTGCAAACTCAGGTTGCCTCTAGCCACAGCCCAGAGCTCCCACAGTGCTGCTGTAAAACCCAGCTGTGCTCCTTATCAGCTCATCCAAGAGCAGCATAATCGTGGAGTGGTTCAGAGCTGTACATCAACTAGCTGGCCACTTTAAGCCACATCTAACAGAGCAGTTACCTTGAAATCATGCTGCAGATTTTCCATTAGCAGAAACAGAGTGGGTCATTCTCACTCTGGCAACTTGATGATTTCATAAAACCTGCAAAAATTTCATATCCTTGATGCTGACACAACTTTATCAATTTTGGCTGGCACTAGTCAACAGGCTCAAAAGTAAGTAAGTAGGAACAGAGAGCTTTCATAAAAATGTATTAGTTTAAATAACAGAAGTGGAAGTAAATTAGTTCTAAAGAGTTAAGAACAATACAGATAACAAGTAAGAGGAAAGAGAAAACTATTCTAAAAGAAGGATTAAGTAAGCATTAGGACTACAATACAAATAGGAAGTCTTCTTCTGGCATTTTAAAACAAGCATTAATGATTGTGTGGAGTTAAAAGACCAATGAAAAATTGCTCCAGAGGTTAAAGGATAATAAGCTAGTGAAAGAATTACATTAAATACAGATCAGTAGGGTCAGATGATACAAAGAGATTTTTTCAGGAACTAACACAGGTCAAACCGATTTCTAATTAAAAGGATTTAACTTTGCAAAAAAAGATAAAAATGCAGACTCAGATCTATGCAAAGCATCAAGACAAACAGCTCTGGAGCAGAGCAGTTCATGTACATGCAAATTTTATGTGGAAAACTCCTCCCTCCCACAAACTGCTTGATTATTTTAAAGAGATCCGTTTAGCCCATGTAACTATGCCTTCCAATCTCTGGCAGCGTCCTTGGCCTGTTGCATATTATTGATTTTCTTTTTACAGGCATAATTATGCCAAAGTGAAGATTAATAAAGGTTTCTTTTAAATGCATCTTTTTATCCTCCTCCCAAGCAGCAGCCTTCTACTTCTTTTATTTGGTTTCTTTCATATCATTAAATTGACTGAAATGTTGCTATTAAACACCAGAACCTTCAGCAGCCACCAGAGACTAGCACAGAAGACACTAACAGTTTTATTAGAAACAAAAAGCAATATGTTATGAACATACAATAACATTGTGAGGTGCTTTCCTATGTCTACATGTCCATTTTGCACTTCCAGGCTGGATCCGATTCCCAGCCTCTCTCCAGGGCTGCATGAGCTCTGCCCTCCCATCTCATGCTGCACAGACCTATCGCTCTCTGCTTCACAGCCACCTCTCCAGCCAGCACTGCTGGGGAGTCAGATGAGTCCTGGGGCTTCCCCAGGCAGACACTAAACACTCCTGCAAGCAAGTCTGTTCTCCCTGAACCAAAACATGAAGTCAGTGCCGGCTCGAGGGGGCAATAAGACTGCAAGGGCCCCAAGTCAGATCAGCTCAAAGGGCCACTGAAATGCTACTTCTAGTTTTACAAGACAGACAGGACTCCAGAAAACCACACTGGACTAGACCTGGAATAAAACTTTAAGAGAGAGAGAAGCTACCTTCTTTCAAAATACATTACAGTGCATCACATTATTTACAATATCTCCTACCCAGAATATTACTTAATTGACAACTATTTCAATTATATGGGCAAATTCCCTTTTTCTATCATGACTACCCTTTCTTCCCTTCATGCTATGCATACAGAAAGTTTTCTAAGACTAATGCAGGATTTGTGTAAAAATGTAACAAGTAACAGATAATAAATTTATATAAAAAAAAAAAAGATGGCATATTTCATCCCTGAGCCATCCCTGGAAAAGCACGTGATAGACAAGAGTTCATACTATTTCAAGAGAAGCAAATATTGTATATACAACATGTATACACCAGGTTTGATTCTTAAAGCCAGAGAGGCAATAATTCCTGTTTACACCAGTGTGGGAAGATGGCTGGGGATAAAAATTAGAGGAAACTGAGAAGTTATAATCAAATCCTAACAGAAATTCTAATGGTACAGAAATTACAGGGTAAAACACAGCTGCTACTCCCTGGATGGAAAGCAGTTGGCAGTTCCACGATGATTCCCCATACAACAGTAAGCACCTGCTATGGAGGATGAAACGGAGGGTGGAGTGAAGACACCACAACCAGGCTCTGTGGAAATCCTTCCAGGGAGGGGAACTACATGGTACTTTGCACCTGACAAACGGCACAGCACCTGTCAACCAAGGAAGGTAGGAGATGTCCTGCTGCTGAGCCAACAACTGTGGCAAAATCTCTCTCCTCAGATGAACTTGGTTCATTAAAGCCTGACTGTAATATTAGTGCACACCTCCATCCCAAAGTTACCCGCCTCCAAGTATGACCACTGCCCACTGGGCATGCACTCTATATTTTTTTTGACTGTATCTTCAAAAATGAAGTAAGACAATTTTACACCAATCAGTAATAAAGGTATTTATGACTACAGTCACTCAAGCTCCACCTAAAAAAAAAGAAATAGTATAAAAGTAAGTTGAGAATGGTGGAAAAGTTACGGAAGACTCCACTGTAACTGCTGGAATCAGTCAACAGGCTGAACCTGTCTTCTCCCCTCGTAGGGAACCCTGTTGTGTAAGAACCACTCTGTGCACGCTGAATACTTTTACTGGGACTAGAACTTGTCTGTGTATTGCTTTGAAAATGTTTTTTGCAGTCAGATACTATCATTGGCAATCTTTGAACCTTAACCTGTCACAATTTTCTATTTGTAAGACCGTTTTCCCATAAACTGTTACCGTGAGTCCTTCATGGGTGTTGGCAGCCACTGGCAGCGGGTTACACAGTCTAATAAAGTGTGAAGACCCACTGAGGGGTCTCCCTTACCCTGTTGGCTTAGCCCCCTGAAAAGGGCAGTCAAATTGCCCTCCGATTCAGACAGACTGTTCAGTGAACAGTCCCCATAACAGGACACTGACACACTGGTTGGGCATGAGGGTCTCAGCTTTTCTGGGCATTAACAGACTAATAAATCACTGATGAACTCTCCCCACACTAAGAGTAGAGGAAATTTCCCCTTTTCACATGACACACGAGTTTTGCTAATCTCACACTTGGGAGTATTGAACAGAGTTTTCTTTCATTTGACTATAAAAGAAACAGCAATATTGACAAATTACAAAGAACATATAAATGACAAAAGCAATAGATTGTACTATCTCTAAAAAGATTAATGCACTTCAATATATGCATCTTACATAAAAGATGCTAAATGGGAAATCTCTTAATTATCTTTGTACACTAATGCACAGAGGGAATACTGGATCCTTACATTACAGTCTAAAACAGAGTACTTTTACCACAGGTTGGCATCTCTTGCTGTTAATTACCTAGATTATACCAACATCTACATTCAATTTGTTGAAACTAGAAGCAATTATTAATTAAAAATTAATAAGCTCTTACAGCATACTTTAGACTCGGGCCCTACCTGCTATGTTTCTTCACATAATGTATTCTGGCACTAAAACCAGCCATTTTACACATTTTTAACTTATAAATTTGCAGTTTGAAGAAACTTGGAATATATGGCAAATTCCACCTATCTAGAATCTTCCTTGTGTTGCCATCATGAGCACCAAAACAGACAAAACCGAAGAATTTCACACTACTTCACTGACTGCCTTTCTGCTAGGACCAGACTCATTGCGTGGTTTAGAATTGCAATATAATGGAGAAAAAAGTTCCTTCGGCACCTATGACATGCTCATGGTGGCCATCCTGCCTTCTGAAGGCTGTCTTCACGGATAAAAGAAATTGCTTCTCAGTAGGTAGCCATTTCTATCCAAAGCCTAATGTCACCAGCATTATACCACTTCATTTCGACCAACTACCCTTCCAGCTATGGTGAAACTCTCCTCTTCATGCCAAAAAACTAAAAGAAAAAAGTCCCCATTGAATACTACTTTTAAAAAGGAATTTGAGTGCATTTGTCTTATTTGTCTTCTCAATCTTCTCTTGACATTTCCTCTAGACCCTGTATAGCATTTACTTGCTGGTCAGCTGCTTCCTCACCACATTGATGACAGCTATTAGGCCACATAGTTGTTATCTCCCACTGTCACAGAATCAATTAGGTTGGAAAAGCCCTCTGATTGAGTCCAAACTTTGACCTAAAACCACCACGCCAACTAGACCATGGCACTAAGTGCCACGTCCACTCTTTCCTTAAACACCTTCTCAGACAGTGACTCCAGCACCATCTCTGGTAGCCTACTCCAATATCTCATCACCCTTTCTTTGAAGAAATTCTTCCTAATGTCCAACCTAAACCTCCCCTGGTGCAGTTTAAAAACGTGTCACCTTGTCCTAATCATATTCATTCAAGTCCAAATGATACCCATTCATCAGCCTGCACTGGTAAAAAATAACAATCCACAAGTGAAGCACCCCAAAGCAGGTAGGTGGGGGAAAAAAAAAAAAAAAAAGAAGGAACAAAATATCTCTAATTCAGCTCCTACCCTGCCTTCTGTGGTGTTGTGATCGGGCAACTGTGTAGAGGTGTAAATGTGTAACACGCAGGCGGGACATCCGCAGGGGAGAGGAGCACAACCCGTGCCCAGCCCTGCCCGCTTTGTCTGCTCCCAGCACTGTTCCTCCTTCCCTGCTCCAGCCCATCCCCACCACTTCCCACCCCTTAGGCGCTCGCGCTCTCTGACGACACGGCTAGTTCCCTTCCCCTAGGGGAGCTCCCGCCGAGGCCCAGGGACAGCGGCGGGGCAGCTGCAGGCGGGACCGCCCGGTGCCGCCGCTGTCTCCGCGCCCCTTCCCCGCCGCGCGGGCACCAGCGCGGCCGGGCCCCGCCAGACCCCGCCGGGCGGGCGCGAACACGCACACACACACACACGCACGCACGCACGCACGCACGCACATACATACATACATACATACATACACATATACATACATACACACACACATACATACATATATACACACGCCCGCAGCCGCCAGCCCCCGCCGCGCAGGGCCGGCCCCACACGGGAGCTCTGCCAGGCCCGGCGCCGCGGCCCCCCCGCACCCGCCCGGCGGCGTCGCCGCCGCCGCCACCCTACCCCGTCCGGAGGGCGGAGCCGCCCAGGCCGCCGGTGCCGCCGCCGCGCCGGGCGCCGCCGGAAGCCCCGCACGGAAGGCGGCGGGGGCGGGAACCGGGGGAAGCGGCGCGGCGGGGGCGGGGCCGCCGGCTGCGCCTGCCCGAGCCCCGGCGCGGGGCGGGCCCGCATCGTCCCGGCGGGCAGCGGGCGGCGGAGGGTTGTTACAGGATGACAGAATCATGAAATTTTAAGAGTGGGAAGGGAGCTTAAAGATCATCTAGTCCCAGCCCTCCTGCCATGGGCAGGGCCACCCCCCATTACACCGGGTTGCTCAAAGCTCCGTCCAGGCTGGCTTTGAACACCTCCAGGAATGGGGCACCCACAGCCTTTCGGGGCAACCTGTTAAGAGTGTCTCACCACCCTCACAGTAAAGAATTTCTGCTGTCTATCTAACCTAGATTTCCCCTGTTTCAGTTTGTACTATTACTCCTTGTCCTACTACCCTTACAGTTCCTGAGGAAGAGCTCTTCTCCGGCTTTCCTGTAGGCCAGCCTCAGATACTTGGAAGGCTGCTATGAGGTTTCCATGCAACCTGCTCTTCTCCAGGCTGAACAGCCCCAACTTTCTCAGTCTGTCTTCGTAGGGGAGTTGCTCCAGTTCTCTTATCAACTTCGTTCCCTCCTCTGGACTTGCTCCAACAGGTCCACATCCTTATGCTGGGGACACCAGAACTGTGTGCAGTACTCCAGATGGGGTCCCACAAGAGCAGAGTAGAGGGGGAGAGCCACCTCCTTCAACCTCTGGCCACACTCCTTTGGATGCAGCCCAGGACGTGGTTAGCTTTCTGAGCTGCGAGTGCACACTGCCGGCTCATGGTGAGTTTTTCATCAACAATCACCTCCAAGTCTTTCTCTGGAAGGCTGCTCTCAATCACTTCTCTGCCCAACCTGTAGGTGTGTCTGGGATTGCTGTGACCCAGGTGTAGGACCTTGTGCTTTGCTTTGTTGAACCTCATGAGATTCACATAGGCCCACCTCTCAAGACTGTTAAAGTCCCTCTGGATGGTGTCCATTCCCTCCAGCATGTCAAATTATTGCCATGTTGTGCTTTGTGACTCAGGCCTGCTCTGGCTTGTGTCATCTTACCTCTGCAGACATGAAGACTGCAGTGATGTGGGCACCTGCCCGTGATGACCCCCAGACTGGTTTCTCCCAGAGGTTTTTACACCAGGCAGCATATAAGCCTTGCCCTAACCCCATCCCAGTTGGGTTATGCTTTTGACGTGGTGTTGGAGTCCCCGGCATATCATAAGGCAAGCCCTGATTTTAATTAAACTTAATGAGTACTTGCTCCAGCAAACCGCAGTGCCTCTTGGGTTCCTACCTGGCATATTGCAAAGGACGTATCATGGTTTGCATCCATATCCTTTAATTTGGTACAGGCATCCAAGCATTTGTGCTTTCTCTCCCAACCACCACTTCCAATTAGAGCTTCTGCACTGACTATCAAAATTGCTGTCACTCAGTCTAGTCTCCTCAGGTCTCCAGTGATGCTAGTGGACTGTACCTGGGACTGTTCAGTTATAGTAGAAAATGGAGTTGCTAGTAGTCAAATATAATTCTGAAAATCCAGAAAATATTCAAAATACTTGCTATCTAAGGTACTTTTTGTGTAATGCTTTAATATAAACTCTGTATATTTATAATAAGTTGCAAATATAGAAATTTTTAAGTTTAGTATAGAGTACTTGTCGACTGCTAACTGCAGCGGCAGACAGGCCACCACACAACCCTGCTTTCCACAAGCAGACATGCCAGGATGACCAGTTTATAGGCAATTCATACCCCTGCATGCACCTATGTGCACACATACAGAAATACACGTACATATGCACGTGTTTTATATGCCTAAGATGCTGCCATGCTATTTTAAAATAACAGTTCAAGCCCCAACTTTTAAGGCACTGCTTCTATGGAAGAGGAATGTAGACCCTTCAGGTTTCAGTGCCATCAGTGTAGTATCCTTCTTGGCATCATTTAGACTCACCTCAATCCTACAATCAGGTGCTAGCTACAGAGTGTTTATAAAGGTGCTTTCAATAACCACCTTCCCAAGAAGTGGCCAACTTAAAGTTTGAATTTGTAATACAAAATAAAATTGGAAACAATAAGTTTAATGAGTCAGAAAATAGGTTAGGCATGAAGCTGAATTTTTGTAGTTTATTTTGTTTATGTTATTGTTTTCATTTTATGTTTTGTACATCTCATGCTATCCTCTCTTTGTAAACTAAATGAAGAAAAAGGGAACACTTGCAAGGCACAATTTATCTAACTAGTTTAAGACTTTTAGTTTAAGACTTCTACTTTAGCATTAATATATCACCTAAGAACAGGAACCCAAAATTTTTTATTTCTGTCTATTAGCAGCTATAAAGAGAGAGCAAGCAACTAGTTCAGACATTTGTACAAAGGTGTATGTTTGGCCAAATCATTCCCATCCTATGTTTATTTTTATACTGTATTAAAATTGATTTCTGTGTCAGTGCAGAAGATGAATATGAGAAGTTTTTCTATAAGTCCACTCATCTGCCAGCTCACAGAGGCTGAAACAGACTCCTTCTACTTAAATTTAGCATTGTCAGAGTTCTATGTTTGGATAGTCTGCTAGGCTTATTCTATAAATCATGAGGAGACAGGCATACCTCCAGGTGATCTGGCCTATCCCATTTACTCCTATGAGAGGTGCCTAAGAGGCACAGAAAGTATCACTGCTTGGAGGTACACCTCTCTCCACTTAGCATAGACCATCCCCAAGCTTTTAGACAGCAAATAGGATGTGCTATGTCTGAACACATCCTTAACAAGGCAAAGAAATTACAAAACCAACTTCATCATTATTCACAGAGGTTGCCCAATAGCAGGTAGCATTTTAAAACTGCAGAGAGACTAGTATTTATTGAAGGGGGTAGAGGACGTTGGGTGACAGTGTCCTTTTTGTCTAGGCTGCTGTCTCAAAGTCATGCTATGTGCATTCAAGATGTGCTCCAAATTACTGTCAAATTGTCATTCTATGGCCTTTGCAAAAATCAATTGATGATCTCTTTTTATTCAACAGTTATCCACATCTGGAGCTGACAGATAATTTCCAGTGAGCTATGGCACACAAACACTTTATACATATTTCTATATCCACATTATCAGTAAAACTAGGCATAGAATATGTTCCAGAAATGGGCCTCTGTGTTGAAAGGAAATACACTGGCAGAGCAGTACAGGAAGCCACCTGTTTGTAAAATAAGAGTGAGACTTGTCTTCTGTGTGTAAATCAAACTTTGTAATCACCAAATTCATGTCTTAACAGCATTCTGCTTCTCCTTCAGCTTTTCCTCATTATTATCAGCACTGGAATGTCTTGCTTGTGAGGGGAACTCTTTCTGAAGTCAGTAGGAATATTGTTACTTAAAAATTAGATGTAAAGAATGGAAAGGCCACGTAACCGGCGTGGATAAATGACACTAAGTTTTGTTTGTGTCCAAAGGTACATAAGGGAGTGATATGGCTAGTGACATTTCAATTACTTTTGACTCCCAAGACAGGTGACTAGGTCACCTGGATCCACAGTCCGTTACTTTAACTCACTTGTCACCCTAAGGCACCATTGTGATTACTGATAAAAATGTCCAGAGGGAATCTTGCCATACGAGGAGGTAAAGATCCCACACATCAGCTATTGGGCAGTGCAGGTCCAAGACTTATTAATATTCTGCACTAGCCGAAGATGTCCAGGTCCCCTTTTCCAGGCAAGGTGGTTGTTGAAAGGCAAATGTACCAAAGGAATTTTTAGTGAGAACAAAGAATCTGCTGATTAAACAGTGAAGCTTACCTGAGCCTTGGGTAATGAGTTAGGAGACAGCTCCTACTAAAAACAGAGTAACGCTTTATTTAAGGTTGCAAAAGAAAGAGGCCTGTGTTGCTATTTCTAACATATTGGTTGAGAAAACATTTTGTAAATAAACAATTCATTCGGAAAAACTACCTGGCTTTTAAGTCTCCAGATCCTGATTGCAGCAGGAAACTGATCTGGATTTTGCTATCACTTTGCAAAGCTTTGTATTTTAAAGTGGTAAATGGAACCCTAGAAATAATGAAATCATTTTAATCAGTGAGTTACTTTTAATACAACAAACTTATCCAAGTGCCAACTGCAAAGCAGCACAGACTGCGTATGCATAACACCATTGCCACTGGTGTGAGTTGTTCTTCCTGGCTTCCTCTGCATCCCAGGATATTAACCCAGCATGGGAAACATCTCACTGCTTCTTGGACCAGCATTACTGCTTTTTGATATGTGAAATTACATATAATCTTTGAAATGGAAGAGAAAGTGTACTAAGTCAATGAGATCAAGTAAATCTGAACATGTTTCTAGGTGTTTCCATGGGCCAGGTCTAACAAGTCTTTGGCTTTTATGTCAGCTTGAACTCTTTTTTTCAAGAGGAAATTTTTTACTCCCTCTGTTTATTTTCTTCCACATAAAAATATTTTGTGTAGCATCTTCTCTCTCTCTGCTGTGCTGTATGAAAATGCTGGTTTTGTAGCTGATCATATTTACTGCATTTTATCTTTATTTTCTTGTATTTCTATTAAAAAATAAAGAATGTGCCACAGTACAAGTATGTGCTTAAATTTTATGTACTATTACACAACTGCAGTATTTCACAGAATCACAGAATCACAGAATATGCTGAGTTGGAAGGGATACACAAGGATCATCAAGTCCAATCCTTAGCCCTGCACAGGACCATCCCCAAGAGTCACACCCTGTGCCCAAGAGTAGCATCCAAACGCTTCTTCAACTCTGTCGGGGTTGGTGCTGTGACCAATTCCCTTGGGAGCCTGTTCTGGTGCCCAACCACCTTCTGGGTGAAGAACCTTTTTCTAAAATCCAACCTAAACCTCCCCTGACACAACTTCAGGCCACTCCCTCAGGTCCTGCCACTGGCCACCACAGAGAAGAGATCAATGCCTGCCCCTCCTCTTCCCCTCACCAGGAAGTTGTAACTGCAATGAGGTCTCCCCTCAGTCTCCTC